ATCACCCCTTGTGTGTATGTACTTTACCTGAATAAACATCTGAATCTGAATCTCACTCACTCTCTTACTCATCCTATGATCTGTGGTTTATTATGCACGCCATAATAATATCACCCATACTCATTCTAAGCCATACTTATCCTGTGAACGATAGCTTATTATGCAACCCCATACTCATCTCACTCCATACTATCTCCCCCATACTCATCTCACTCCATACTAGCTCCCCATACTCATCTCACTCCATACTATCTCCCCCATACTCATCTCACTCCATACTCATCTCCCCCCATGCTCATCTCACCCATACTCGTCTCACCCCCATGCCCTACATTCATCCTGTAGTGTAAACTGTAGTTTATTATACACCCCACACTCATCCCTCCCTTACTCATCTTACCCCATACTCATCCCACACCATACTCATCCTGTGAACGGTGGCGCAAAAATCATTACAAGGTCACAAAAGGTCTCACATACTTGCTTTATCTACGAGAAGCAAAATGTGGAAACAGTACAAGAATTTGAGGTAGTTTATCAGTAACAGTAAACTAATGTGCCCTCCACACAACGATTGGTTTAGATCTATCTCTAAATACCTCTAGAGTTTGGCAGATTCTAAAATATAGGGATATAATGTCCATATACTATTTAGAGTGCGTGTCATCTTGCTGGAGATACAAGCTCAACCGCTGGTCACTAGTGGTCTTAGATAAACCCAGAACATTATATTACATATTCCAATATTTGTACCTTACTGAGATGGCACAACAGCTCTTACAACTTTATTGAAGCTTGTCTAAGATTGGTGTTTTTACTTATGTGTGTGGCTGTGAACTGTGGGACCCAGGAGATGGTTGTACGGCTGGGAAGGCGTGGGTCAGGAAGTGATGGGGAGGCGTGGGTCAGGAAGTGATGGGGAGGCGTGGGTAAGACAGTGATGGGGAGGCGTGGGTCAGGAAGTGATGGGGAGGCGTGGGTAAGACAGTGATGGGGAGGCGTGGGTCAGGAAGTGAAGGGGAGGCGTGGGTCAGGAAGTGATGGGGAGGCGTGGGTCAGGAAGTGATGGGGAGGCGTGGGTCAGGAAGTGATGGTGAGGCGTGGGTAAGACAGTGATGGGGAGGCGTGGGTAAGACAGTAATGGGGAGGCGTGGGTCAGGAAGTGATGGGGAGGCGTGGGTCAAGAAGTGATGGGGGGCGTGGGTCAGGAAGTGATGGGCAGGCGTGGGTAAGACAGTAATGGGGAAGCAGGCTCCCACACTGGGTCGCAACCAGACACAGCGCTGGTAAACACCGCCAGCTCTGTTAATATCTTCTAACGTCCAACAATATACAGGAGTGCAGGTGGTGATCTGAGGTCCGGGGTGTGGGAACTCCCATCTGTGGGGACCAGGGTGTGGGAACTCCCATCTGTGGGGACCAGGGTGTGGGAACTCTCATCTGTGGGGACCAGGGTGTGGAAACTCTCATCTGTGAGATCCGGGGTGTAGGAACTCTCATTTGGGAGGATCGTGATTTGGGAAGCCTTAACTAAAGATGCCTCTGGGCGTAAAGAAATCCTGACGTACTCCAGGCTCGGACACTGATGGTGCCTCGGGGTGTACGGGGATCCTGATGTGCCCCAGGCCAGTGTACTGATGGTGACGACCAAACCACACACAGAAGATGGAGAAATGACGACGTTTCGTCCGCCCAGGACCATTATCAAGACGTATGTGGATAATGGTCCAGGACGGACCGAAATATCGTCGTTTCTCCGTCTTCTGATGTGTGATTGGGTCATCATATCTTCAGCCAAGTTATTGTAACATTCAAATTCAAATGTTTACTCAGGTAAAGTACATACATACAAGGTGTGATACAAATATTGCTTAATTTATAGATAGAGCTAGTACATACAATGCCTAAAGCCACTATTACGCAAAGCGTTTCGGGCAGGAAAAACACTAAAGACTAAAACTTAATACTAATTGAGATTAAAGTATAAAACGTGTTTAGACAATATAAAAATAAAAAATGGGGGAACATGGCAGAAAAACAGCAAAAATACAACATCGTCTGCACTGATGGTGCTTCGAAACGTAGGAGGGTCCTGAGGGACACTGAGGGATTTCCTAGGGGGTAGGGAGAATGAATACCACAGTACTGCATCACTCAGGTCACTATTGCGTCACGCAACAAAAGCCCCCCATATGCAGGTGCTGCGCATGCGCTGAGCGGGTCGAGGGTTGCTGCCTTCGTTTATCTTGTAGATATAATGGCGTGAGGAGCATGGGAGAGCAGTAAACACCCTGCCTTCTTCAGTGTTGGCTATTACAAGCCGTTGCACAGAACACTTTCCTATCAGACAAGAAGGACCTCTGCCGTACACCCCTGCCAACATAGGGCCACAGCCCCCTACACTTCCTCAAGATGGCTACCTCCATCGATAACAAAATTTCCGTCAAGCGAGTATTCACTGTAAGTTACTTTGTTCATTGCCGACTTGACCAACTAAATTATTCTGAAATATTATTCCACCTCTGGCTGGAAGAAGAGGACCCATAGCTTCCGAGAAGTATATATATATATATATATATTTATTTCGTACCTAGTAGCCAGAACGCACTTCTCGGCCTACTATGCAAGGCCCGATTTGCCTAATAGGCCGAGTGGTTTTCTTTATTCTCAATAAATTGTTTCCAGTTAGTTTATTTGAATTATTATTACTATATTACATTAAGAACATAAATTATTGACTTAGTTGAGTTAGTTTAGATTAGGTTAAGATTAGGTCTGTGCGATGTTGTTTTTAGTTTGTATATTGTGAATGTGTTCTATGGTGCTTAATTTAGCAGCAAGCTGAGCATGAGGGTTGTTTGTGATTAGTTTCATGGTGGGGTATGCAGGCGACAGGATGTCAAAAGGTATTATCTGCCAGGGTGGAAGGAAGTGCTGTACTCTTTCATGTTTACATACACCGTGTAGTCCCATCATTTTAATATGAGTGACTGTTCTTTGAATCCATTTAGACTTGCTAGTTCCATTACGTATGTGTTCTAACAGTTCAACTGACACAATGTTGCTTTTGTTATCATGCAGAAGGTTGAGTCCCATCATAAAATTTATTTTAAATATTCTATCTTGAATGTTAGGTATATTTAATTCTTTCCGCATATTGAGAACTTTGGTAGTTATAGGACATTAGCTTAATAAAGCTTAATGTATTAGCTTAATAAAGAGTTAAGCTCCTGTTACCTCAAGCCTACCTGCTGTCAATTGCTTGTGCTCCAGGCTGGCCTGGAAGCACTATGGTGCGACACAGGTAAAGTAAGAGTAAACACCAGTCCCTTTTCCACCCTGTGGTTCACTAGCCGTCCCAATATGACGGTTCAGTGGGGAGCGGTGGTTGCCTCCCAACGCGGCAAGGGGATACAAGCCCAAAAAATCAAACGCCTCTGTCTTTCTGCAGTTATCGAACTTGGAACCTGTTGGTTGTGACCCGACTTTGTTCCAGCCTAAACCGTATCAAAGCCATCAGCAGGTCGTATATCATTATGAAGTAGTCGAGGCTGTTGACCATATTGCTACTGGTGTCTAGAACAGCTGTAGATATGGAATAGCTTTCCAGATATAGCCACTTGATGCTTTCTATATACCAAAGAATGTGTTTTGCCTTATCAGGAGTCTTGGTTCTATCTCATTTATAAATACGAAGCTTAGTAAGTTAATTCTTTAGTGTTCTTGTGCTGTTGCATATGATCCTAATCTGTGCATCTCCACTAAGGCCCTCCCAGCCTCATATAAGCATTGTAATCCAAGGACCTGTATGGTTGTTCCTCTTTCTTTACGCATGCATTCAGCTTTGGTTTTCTCTGTTATCTCAGTGAGGACTTGAATAAGTACTGCTTTCTCTTTATGGATTAGCCTCTTGTCTGTTCTTTCTTGATTTAGGAGTTGGTATTTACAGTGACATCCAAAATGTATCTCTCAATTATCTTGTTTGTAGATTCTTTGGCCGTGCGCTCCCCTTATCAGGTTTCTGACCCTATAGAGATTTTAGCCTTCCTTGACAGTGTATATCATTAATACCTACCTTGGACTTTCTGTAGTTCCTCTCTCAACGGAACTTGTTCTTCCTCTCACCTCTCACTTATTTCTGAAAATTATCCCATCCAGTAGATAATCGTTTACTCCTATTCTTCCTTCCGTTTCCCATCTTTATCTATCTTATGCTCATGCAATCTCTCTTAACACTCTTTTTCGTCTCTGTCATTATTGTTCTCAGTTTCTATAATTACACGCCCATTTTTTCTCGTCTTCCCTCACACATCTCGCTTATCGTCTCTGTTTCAGTCATTTCTCATATTTCCCAGCTCTTTACTCTTCCTTATGATTGTGCATTTAGTTGTGCATAGCTCCTGGCTCCTGTTCAAGCCATGCATTTCTCTTCACCTCTGCTTTTACGGTACCTTTATCCCCGTGTGTTTGTGTGTATAAGCAGATGATATGGGCACGTTCCTTCCTAACCTATATCAAGATCATCAGTAGGCCGTATCATCAGGAGATAATCAGGGTTGTTGTCTGACAGGTCTTGTTGCTACTGATGTCCAGCACAGCTGCAGACAACTTGGTGCCTCGCACTCAAGGAAACCTCACCGTCAGGCACTACAGAGGTCACCAGGCCTCCGGGCACTACGTGACACCTGGTGTGGTCAGGAAACGGTTGAGGTGTCCTCGACAAGTTAAATGCCAATTGCCCGGCCAACACCTTAATCCGTGCTGTTTCGGTCCACCAGGACCACGTCCACCTTTACCGCTACCCACTTTTCCCCCTTACCCACCGCTTCCATATCCTACTTGGATTCCAACGTACCCACCTACCTACCCTCCACCAACGTACCCACCACCAACGTACCCACCTACCTACCCTCCACCAACGTACCCACCACCAACGTACCCACCTACCTACCCTCCACCAACGTACCCACCTACCTACCCTCCACCAACGTACCCACCTACCTACCCACCACCAACGTACCCACCTACCTACCCTCCACCAACGTACCCACCTACCTACCCTCCACCAACATACCCACCTACCTACCCTCCACCAACATACCCACCTACCAACCCCCCACCTACTTTCATGCCCACTAACGAACCCAATTCCTCCTCCACCACCTTCCCGCCCTCCACGCACCCGACCATTCCAACAGTGACGCCTGTGTACTATCCACCGCCTTGGTAAGTTTTCATACATTTTGTTGTATTTATTGTAATTAGAGACTGGCGTGAGGTGAAGCACAATATGAAGGTGATCCACATCGCGGCTCCCGCCATAAAGCAGTACCCTCATACTTCCTTCTTGGTAACAAGAAGGCCAGAGAGAGAGAGATGTGCAAATATGTATCCGAGTCCGTGTGATTTTTTTGGCAAGGTTAGCACCAACCGATGAAAAGAAGCTATTAAAATCATTTGCCATTTCTAAATCAGTTACAGGTGTATAGCCATCCTTTGAGAGTTTTATCTGGTTATATGAGTGTTGTTTAGTTCTTAGGATGTCAGAGATGGTTTTCCATGTGCTTTTCATGTTGCCTTTTGCTTCTTTGAATCTATTCTCATAATAGGAAAGTTTTGCTTTTCTTGTGATACTGGTAAGCATTGATGAGTACCTTTTAATTACTTCCTTTGTAACTTTAGGCCAATCCATCATGCAACCTACTGGGTATCTGTATATCATACCACATGATGGGTGCTGTATATCCATTTATGGACCATTTACATTTATGGTACTGTATATCCATTTATGGAGGAGACCATTTATGATCTGCTGGAAGCCCGCTGTCTAAAGACCTGCCCGGTTACCGCTTACAAAAACGTCTACAGGTTACCATGTGGTAACCTGTGGTAACGTCTACAGGTTACCAAAGCAGGAAGTACCGTGCATCATACCACATGCTGAGTACTGGGATAGCTGGCAGGTGTGTTGCAGGAGCAGGTGTTACGTGACAAGTGTATCACATGACAGATCTGGACTCTGACAGGTGTTTCATATGAAAGGTGTATCACATGACAGGTACATTCTATGGTAGGTGTATTTCATGACAGATTTATACCAGGACAATTGTATGCCATGAGAAATGTATACCATGACTGATGTTTCCCATGACAGGTATCTCCCGTGATAGTTGTAGCCCATGACAGGTGTTATCGTGACCGGTGTATCCCATAACAGGTATATCATATGACAGGTGTGGCATGTACGGACAGTGTGGGTGTCCGCAGGTAACCACGCCCCCTGCCTGCCCCTACCTCGCGTATGGGACAGGTGCCAGACGCGTCCGAAGTATTGCTCAGGTAAGGCATCCTTCCACTGATCAGCTCTTGAACATTATGCCTTCCACTTTCTGGTTCTTTCACACATGCCTTCTGTTGATTGGCTCTTGTCTACAATGCCTTCTCTTGATTGGCTCTTGTCTACAATGCCTTCTGTTGATTGGCTCTTGTCTACAATGCCTTCTGTTGATTGGCTCTTGTCTACAATGCCTTCTCTTGATTGACTCTTGTCTACAATGTCTTCTCTTGATTGGCTCTTGTCTACAATGTCTAAAATAATAATAAAGTAATGTTAAGTGAGCACTTGAACACCGTTAGTGATGGAAAGTTGTATAATACAGCGGGCGTGTAGCTTGAACGGTCAGTGTCCCGCGGGCTCCTCCTGCTGCACCCACGCCTGCTACAGGTCCAAGGTGTGCACGCCCACCATCACCACGCCCACACCACGCCCACGCAAGGTAAGTGGAGGAAGGGGTTAACACACAAGGTCTAGTGCACTTGGATGAGTACCAACATGTAGTGACGGACCACCAGAAAGGTGACTTGCTTTATTGAATTTATTACAAACCGGAAATTTTTTAACCGTAAAATAAATATAAAATCTAACCTAACCTCTCCCATCAGTCCTAGGCCTATTTCACGATATCTTAGGCTTAATATAGTACACATATGTGCTAGTCTAGGCCTAGGAATATTTATGTTTGTCTTAGCTGTATTTTTCCTGACTATAAAAAATATTTGTACATTAATTTAATGCACTACTTGGCCTGGCACAGGAGCAGGGCAAGTAGCACGGGCTATGGTGAGCCCGTAACTTACCTGGCACAGGAGCGGGGCAAGTATTCGGCTATTCGCAATTCGCTTGCTTATATTCGGTGACTACACCTCAGCTTCCTCCAGCCAGGATAGAAAGAATGTTACCTGTAAATAGGGATAGGATTATAGCTTGTGTAATTAGTGCTAATTAGTTACGCCATTAATTAGTCATTAAGCTAATGAGAGGTTATAGTGAGTATATTGTTTGTACTCGCTTCTGTAGCGAGTACAAACAATATATTCACTACAGTACTATGCATGCCAGTAATGCAGCAGTGTGGAACATGACGGTAGTGCATTAGTGAGGAACATGACAGTGGTGTAGTAGTCATGAACATGTAAGTGATAAGAGAAGATGAAAACATTACTGCTACAGGTGAAGGTGAGTGTGATGATGACGTCCGCCAGCAGTGACTGCAGCGTCTTCATCAAGGAGCACCTCATACCCTTCACCGCAGCCCTCCAGAATCACCTGCAGATCGAACTAATACCTTATGGCAAAGTTGGCAAGGTAAGGTCCCGCCTCTCAACAGTCAATCAACTGGTGTACAGATTCCTGAGCTTCTCGAGCTCTAACATATCTACATTTGAGACTGTGTGTGGAGTCAGCCTCCACCACATCACTTCCTAGTGCATTCCATTTACTAACTACTCTGACACGTAAAAAGTTCTTTCAAATTTCCCTGTGGCTCATTTGGGTACTCAGCTTCCACCTGTGTCCCCTTGTGCTTGTACCACCCGTGTTAAATAATCCATCCTTGTCTACCCTGTCAATTCTCCTGAGAATTTTGTATGTGGTGTTCATGTCTCCCCTAGCTTTTCTGTCTTCCAGCAACGTGAGGTGCAGTTCCCTCAGCCTTTCCTCGTAACTCATGCCTCTTATTTCTGGGACCAGCCTAGTGGCATACTTCTGATCTTTTTTCAGCTTCGTCTTATGCTTGACAAGGTACGGGCTCCATGCTTGGGCCGCATACTCCAGGATTGGCCTTACATACGTGGTTCTGAAAGATTTCTTACACAGGTTTCTGAAGGCAGTTCTGACGTTAGCCAGCCTCGCATATCCTGCCGATGTTATTCTTTAGATGTGGGCTTCAGGAGTCAGGTTTGGTGTGATATATGTGTGTGTGTGTGTGTGTGTGTGTGTGTGTGTGTGTGTGTGTGTGTGTGTACTCACCTATATGTACTCACCTATATGTGCTTGCAGGATCGAGCATTGACTCTTGGATCCCGCCTTTCGAGCATCGGTTGTTTACAGCAATGACTCCTGTCCCATTTCCCTATCATACCTGGTTTTAAAATTATGAATAGTATTTGCTTCCACAACCTGTTCCTGAAGTGCATTCCATTTCCCCACTACTCTCACGCTAAAAGAAAACTTCCTTACATCTCTGTGACTCATCTGAGTTTCAAGCTTCCATCCATGTCCTCTCGTTCTGTTACTATTCCGTGTGAACATTTCGTCTATGTCCACTCTGTCAATTCCTCTGAGTATCTTATACGTTCCTATCATGTCCCCCCTCTCCCTTCTTCTTTCTAGTGTCGTAAGGCACAGTTCCCTCAGGCGCTCTTCATACCCCATCCCTCGTAGCTCTGGGACGAGTCTCGTTGCAAACCTCTGAACCTTTTCCAGTTTCATTATATGCTTCTTCAGATGGGGACTCCATGATGAGGCGGCATACTCTAAGACTGGCCTTACGTAGGCAGTGTAAAGCGCCCTAAATGCCTCCTTACTTAGGTTTCTGAATGATGTTCTAACTTTTGCCAGTGTAGAGTACGCTGCTGTCGTTATCCTATTAATATGTGCCTCAGGAGATAGATTAGGTGTTACGTCCACCCCCAGGTCTCTTTCACGCGTCGTTACAGGTAGGCTGTCCCCCTTCATTGTGTACTGTCCCTTTGGTCTCCTATCTCCTAGTCCCATTTCCATAACTTTACATTGCTCGTGTTGAATTCTAGTAGCCATTTCTCTGACCATCTCTGCAATCTGTTCAGGTCCTCTTGGAGGATCCTGCAATCCTCATCTGTCACAACTCTTCTCATCAACTTTGCATCATCCGCAAACATCGACATGTAGGACTCTACGCCTGTAAACATGTCGTTAACATATACAAGAAATAGAATTGGTCCCAGCACCGATCCTTGTGGTACTCCACTTGTTACTGTTCGCCAGTCCGACTTCTCGCCCCTTACCGTAACTCTTTGGCTCCTTCCTGTTAGGTAGTTCCTTATCCATTCTAGGACCTTTCCCCCCACCCCCGCCTGCCTCTCGAGCTTGAACAGCAGTCTCATGTGCGGTACTGTATCAAAGGCTTTTTGGCAGTCCAGAAATATGCAGTCTGCCCAACCATCTCTGTCCTGTCTTATCCTCGTTATTTTATCATAGAATTCCAGAAGGTTTGTTAGGCACGATTTCCCTGTCCAGAACCCATGTTGATGTTTGTTCACAAACCTAATGTTTTCCAGGTGTGCAACCAAGCGTAGCCTAATTATTCTTTCCAGTATTTTACAGGGGATGCTTGTCAGTGATACAGGTCTGTAGTTAAGTGCCTCCTCCCTATCTCCTTTCTTGAAGATCGGCACGACATTTGCCTTCTTCCAGCAACTGGGCAATTCTCCTGACATAAGTGACTCATTAAAGATCATTGCCAGAGGCACGCTGAGGGCCTGTGCTGCTTCTTTTAGTATCCACGGTGATACTTTGTCTGGTCCAACTGCTTTAGTTGCATCTAGAGTTGTCAACTGTTTCATTACCTCCTCTGCTGTCACCTCTATATCTGATAGTCCTAGGGTAACCCCTTCCAACAATGGGAGCTGCTCAGGCTCGGTAGTGAACACTCCATGGAAACTGGCATTCAGTGCCTCGCAGATTTCCTTGTCACTTTCAGTATATGCCCCCTCTGTCTTCCTTAGTCTTGTCACTTGGTCGTTCACCGACATTTTTCTTCTTATATGACTGTGTAGTAACTTAGGTTGTTTTTTCGCTTTGATTGCAATATCGTTCTCATAGTCCCTTTCCGATGTTCGTCTTATGTTAATGTAATCGTTCCTAGCTCTGTTGTATCTGCTTCTGTTGTCCTCTGTTCTTTGTCTTCTGTACTTCCTCCACTCCCGCCTGCTGGCCATTTTTGCTTCCTGACACTGTCTATTAAACCATGGGTTATTATATTCCTTCTTATTTTTTCCCTTTACCGTTGGTATAAATCTCTCTTCGGCCTCCTGGCATTTCTGTAAGACTAGGTCCATCATATCTTGGACTGTTTTTCCTCTAATTTCTTCCTCCCACTGCACTTCACCCAGATAGTCCCTTATCCTCATATAGTCCCCTTTCCTGTAGTCAGCTCTCCTTTCCCAGATCTCTTGTCCCATGGTCATAATTTTGAATTCCATCATGTAGTCAAAGACTAGGACACAATGGTCACTGGCCCCTAGAGGTATTTCATGCTCTAAATTCTCGATATCTTCTACGTTCTGGGTGAAAATCAGGTCTAATAGGCTCGGTGCATCTCCTCCTCTTTCCCTTGTGTCTTCCTTCACATGTTGTGTCAGGAAATTCCTGTCTATAACATCTACTAATTTTGCTCCCCACGTTTCATCCCCTCCATGGGGATTCCTTGATTCCCAATTTATCTCTCCATGATTTAGGTCCCCCATGATCAGCAGCTTCGCTCTCATTCTGTGGGCTAGTGTTGCTGCCTTCTGCAGTTCATCTATACATGCTTTGTTGTTGTCATCATACTCCTGTGTGTGTGTGTGTGTGTGTGTGTGTGTGTGTGTGTGTGTGTGTGTGTGTGTGTGTGTGTGTGTGTGTGTGTGTGTGTGTGTGTGTGTGTGTGTGTGTGTGTGTGTGTGTGTGTGTGTGTGTGTGTGTGTGTGTGTGTGTGTGTGTGTGTGTGTGTGTGTGTGTGTGTGTGTGTGTGTGTGTGTGTGTGTGTGTGTGTGTGTGTATTTTCACCTAGTTGTGCTTACGGTAGTTGAGCAGGTGTAATAAGAGACAGGTGTTTGAGTGTTAATATAGCAGCAGGTGTAATGAGAGAGACAGGTGTGTGAGTATCAATATAGCAGCAGATGTAATAAGAGAGACAGGTGTGTGAGCATCAATATAGCAGCAGGTGTAATAAGAGAGAGACAGGTGTGTGAGTAATGTCAACACTTCAGGATGGAGGCTGCCAGTACGGGTATGGTGACTGTCTGGGGAACTGGCTGGTCAGTTGTGGAGGTCGTCACCTGACTGGTGGAGAGTCAGCCCAGCTCGCCTTCGCCGCCTGCCTCACCCAACACACACACATCCTCAGCACCTCAAACTTCACCGCCATCATGGCCGCTGCCGTACAGGTGCAGTATATGCTAATATTATTTATAATTGTGCCTTGTTTGTTTGTTTGTGTTGTTAGCCCAACCACTGGGGCTGGACGGTCTCGTTTCATGCAGGTCTGCGTTCAATCCCCGACCGTCCAAGTAATTGAGAGCCATTCCTTAACCCTGTCCCATCCCAAATCATTATCCTGATCCGTTCAAGTGCAATATCGTCGTAATGGCCTGGCGATTTCTCCTGATAGTTCCATTCCCTTGTGTGTTGTTATATCCCAGCCCATCACCCTGTTTTGATAGTACTTATAGGAAGGACGAGGACCATAGTACATATACCGACGTACAACCGTACAACGCAATTAGAAAGTAGCAACTGGTACTATTGAATTTGGACAAACCGAAAAACGATTTTCAATTTATGTTCCAAAGACAAACTTAACAAACCTAGCCTAACCTTCCTAGGCTTATTACACACTATCTGAGGCCTAATATAGTACATATGTGTGCTATATTAGGCCTAGGAATATTTAAGTTTATTTTTCGTTTCATTTTTCGGACTATGAAGTGAATAGTACAAAGTTCTATTATCTAACTGATTAGAACGTTAATGTTTTTACTATGTTGCACATAGCTACAAAAACTATTATATAAACAGGAGAATGGGTTGCCTAGCCAGAAGAATATGTGATCCTAAGTAAACCTATTATGAGTACCTAATAATCTATCTATCTATCTATCTATCTATCTATCTATCTATCTATCTATCTATCTATCTATCTATCTATCTATCTATCTATCTATCTATCTATCTATCTATCTATCTATTTATCTATTTATCTATCTATCTATCTATCTATCTATCTATCTATCTATCTATCTATCTATCTATCTATCTATCTATCTATCTATCTATCTATCTATCTATCTATCTGTATATATATATATATATATATATATATATATATATATATATATATATATATATATATATATATATATATACATACATATATATATATATATATATATATATATATATATATATATATATATATATATATATATATATATATATATATTCTTCTGTCTCTCATGTTGCAGTGTACGGTGGACCAGCCAGCCAGGGTGGAGAGGATGTACCAGTGTGCCGTCAGCGTGGAGGGCCTCAATTTGTTCCAGGAAGCCGGCCGAAGGCAGCGACAACTAACACCAGCGCTCACACAAGTGCCAACCATTGCTCTTGACGGGGTGAGTATATCAGGTGTCGCAGGAAGGTCCGGTAGAGTGCCAACTGTGGTATGGTAGAGGGGAAAGGTCAGGTCAGGTATCCATGTCAGACGACTCTACAGAGTCGACTGACATGGCAGACGACTCTGGAGCTCTGCCTATCAGGCAGAGCTTCTGGTAAGGTCTGGATGTCCACGCTGAGGCATTCCTCCAAGCTTGGCGAGGAAGCCAATTAAGACGCTTCTTACGCCGGTTGTTATTCTTGTTAATATGATTTGTCTTGAAATAGTAAGCATGTAGATGCATGCACATTTAAGCACTGAACATTGGTTTTGTGATATGGTAGGTAGTGGTGATCCGGTTGGCTCATGACGTGAAGGCGTTCCCCAAGCTGCTGTGTGACCGTCTCCGGCAGGTGGCCGGCGCCCACCAGCTCTGCCTCGCCACCCAAAGCAAGCTGCTCTTGTCAACTCCCTCACACCGTTAATGGCGTCAGCGCCTTCCCCGCTCCATCAGCATCTTCGCTACACTATCGACTCAGTCAGCACCTATTTTACTTCATTGTTTATGTAATAAGTATCATGTTTATGATCTTGAAAACATAATAAACGAATGCGTGGAGCAGGAGAGTGCTTGTACAGTCGGGAGATGTGGCCACCCATATCTCGCCAGTCACAGCTGACACGGAGGGGATGGGGGAGGGGCATGTGCTGAGTGTGGTGGTCCAAACAACTGTAACATGTACTATGTGGTGGTCTAGACAACTGTAACATGTACTGTTTGTAGTTTAGACAACTGTAACAATGTACTCTGTGGTGGTCTAGACAACTGTAACATGCATACTAGGTCTAGACAACTGTAGCATGTACTGTTTGGTGGTCTAGACAACTGTAACATATACTGCGTGGTGGTCTAGACAACTGTAACATATACTGCGTGGTGGTCTAGACAACTGTAACATATACTGCGTGGTGGTCTAACCAACTGTAACATATACTGCGTGGTGGTCTAGACAACTGTAACATGCATACTAGGTCTAGACAACTGTAGCATGTACTGCGTGGTGGTCTAGACAACTGTAACATATACTGCGTGGTGGTCTAGACAACTGTAACATATACTGCGTGGTGGTCTAGCCAACTGTAACATATACTGCGTGGTGGTCTAGACAACTGTAACATATACTGCGTGGTGGTCTAGACAACTGTAACATATACTGCGTGGTGGTCTAGCCAACTGTAACATATACTGCGTGGTGGTCTAGACAACTGTAACATATACTGCGTGGTGGTCTAGCCAACTGTAACATATACTGCGTGGTGGTCTAGACAACTGTAACATGCATACTAGGTCTAGACAACTGTAGCATGTACTGCGTGGTGGTCTAGACAACTGTAACATATACTGCGTGGTGGTCTAGACAACTGTAGCATATACTACCTTACAAACAAATATGACTGGGCTGATCTCATCAAAACTTAAAATACTAAACAATTTGGAGGCTATTGTTCCGGACAACTTCTTCAAAAGGTCTGATGTAACACAACCAAAGAGCAACGGTTTCAAGCCACAAAGGACTGAAAACAGGAGATGCTTTTCCACCCATAGGTTCCATCCATGGAACCGCCTGCCCGCCGAGGCCGTAATGCCAAAACTGCTGAATTTCACAATCCAGTTGGATGAAATCATCAGAACAAATGGGGTAACTTTGACCAGCCGCCGGCTTCGTGACCTCGTCGAGGCCACTAGAGATATAGTGGCCCTCATATAAATTTAAATAAATTCAGGTACAGTGTGGCGGTACAATGTTACATACACCGAGTTTAGTGCTTCTCTCGCTTACATAACATTTATTATTGCAATTATTAAATAATAATGTTTTGATGTGTTTAGAGAATGTTGAATGTTAATAAATATTACAGTTTACTATTATTAAATATTAGAACATTACAGCTGAATATATTTTTCCTTCCACTATATTGGTGTGGGGTTTATATTGTTGGACATTCTCAATCGACGTGAGAATGGTCCAGGACGGACAGAAACGTCGTCGTCCCTTCACCTTCTAGTGTGTGGTCGGGTCAACACTGTTGGAAATTTCACCTCTACTTTGGGGACCAGTGTTTTGTGGTCCGATTACTGTTATTCGTCGTGCAATTATTCTACTTCCAAAGTACTCTAAACCAATGTCCCTAAATTATGTGTAACAGATATGATAATTTATAATTTAATCCAACTGTAGGATTATCAAAATATACACACATACCAGGCTTAGTTGAATTTGGTGGCGTAGTCAAGCTACTAGTAGCTACATGAACAAACAGTGGTGGTCTATTTCCTACTGGCAAGCTAAACTTGCAGGTGGGACCGCGTTTAATGTCCACTGTTGTTGACTGCGGCTACCATGTCAACCTGTGAACCAGCTCCCATCAAGCGCCGTGATTCTACTTTAGATAATATAGAATTCAGCTGAGTACGAGTTCCATATATATTAATCCTAACCTAATCTAATTAAAGTGACAATAATAAATATTCATAGTAAACTATATTCATTAATTGCAAAAGCTTGTAATATGCAATATATATTCATTAAACCAAATCTCTAAGTGAATATATTTAACTGTCGCAATATATGATCTCTCTAATAAGCATAACCTAAAGTCCAAATGGTGGTTAGGCGTCATGCCTGCCTGACCGGCATATCTGCAACTGAATATGGTTAGTGGTTTGCAACTCCTTCAATATGGATCCAAATCAAAGAGAAGGTAACGCCACCAACTGTCCTTGCCTTGTATACCTATTGGTAACCGGGTGCTCCTGGTCGGCAGGGATGCAACAGACTGTGGCAACAGACACAGTTGGGTCGATGGTGACCCAGCACATATATCTTTAGATGATGGTATATTTTAAGACGCCATAGTGAACAGTTACCAGTCAGATCACGCTATAGTAGAGAGTTACCAGTCAGATCACGCTATAGTAGAGAGTTACCAGTCAGATCACGCTATAGTAGAGAGTTACCAGTCAGATCACGCTATAGTAGAGAGTTAGTTACCAGTCAGATCACGCCACAGTGGACAATAATAAAAAAAATACAGTAATTGATTGCAACACTTTTATTTAGTTTTTATAAATGTCATGACCACCCAATTAAGATAATTTCAATTATATGAGTAAGGATTAATTGTGGTAGTGGTGGTGGTTGTGGTAGTCATTTCAAACTGCTATGCTATAAAAAATCCCATCTTGATTTAACAGTACTTGAAATCAAGCCTAGGAAATGATGTTGACATAGTAACTATAGAGATGGATTTGATTGTGGTTGTTGCCATCTTGGTTGCTGTCATAGATGTAGTTGTCCTCGTGGTTGTTGCCATAGTGGTGCTTGACAACGTAGTTATTACCATCGTTGTTCTTGAGAACGAGGTTGTTGCCATCGTTGTTCTTGAGAACGAGGTTGTTGCCATCGTTGTTCTTGAGAACGAGGTTGTTGCCATCGTGATTGTTACCATCGTTGTTCTTGAGAACGAGGTTGTTGTCATCGTGGATCTTGAGTTGATGGTTGGTACCACGGGTGAGGTTCGAGCAGAGGAACTCCTGGAGACAGGCGTCGTAGCAACACCTCTCCCCCACACCACACTGGTTGTCTATCATACACCTTCGACCACTGACCTGCACACACCAGTAATGATAACATTTATATATATACAAAATTAGCCAAAGAAAAAACTTGAAAATAGGTAAACTGTGCCACAAAAATGTTCAGACACTAAGAGTCACCATGTGATAGAGTGCAAACATATACGTGAATTAAGAGAAAATCTATAAAACACGTTTAGATGTGTAAATATTTCATTCAAGATGATCTACTACCAAATATTTTAGCTAAATTTCCCTAGTTTTGTTAACTGTAAGTAGTAAATGGAGGTGACTGTAACCTTCCCACAGCCGCCCGCTGGATGGTGGGGGGGGGGGGGCGTTGTGCATGATAAACAAATAAAATTATGAAACTAGCTCACCGCAAATGTTGACGTTACTACTCCTAGGCTTAGGCTCGGCTACACATATCTCCGGGAGTTTGCAAAGCTTGCTGATGTTGACATGATCTAATGTAAACTCTGTCAGCAGAACTATTCACATACCTTACGGCAATATGTAATTGAATGCAAAAAGTTTCCAGAATTTAAAGGTAATTCTTTTACAAATGTTCAAGAAATGTTAAAGTATTTTATTCAAAATGAGGTACCACTAGAGCTCTTAACCAAATGTCCAAAGTTTGCTTACTGTAAGTACTGCGTGCACTTAATTATTACATTTCCACCGCCACCCATTGGATGGGTGTGAGATGCATTAGTAGTAAATATATAACTAGCTCACTACAGATATAAATTTCTCGGTTTAGAGGCTGTTGTGATGCGGTCCATGAACCAGTTGTGCTAGGAAAACAATTAATATGTACATGAACTATGTAACTAGTTTATCAGATTGTAACTTGTCAACTAAATTATTTTGGAGTGTAGTTTATGAGCCCATTATGTGCTTCTGTAACCTCCACTACCACACACACCATAGGTATGGGGTGCACAATATATTATCAAAATCTGCTTTCAATTCCCGATGGTCCGAGTGGTCGAGTCTATTCACTCTTCCTCATATCCCAGTTCCTTGTCCTCATATCCCAGCTCCTCGTCTTCTTACTGGCTTAGTGCATTCTCCTGAAAATAACACGTGCTAGTGTGTAAGGCCTACATTAGACAACGAGGCTACTGGTATTGGCTGGGGCAGTACACCCGTCTCAGCTCTGGTACCTCACTTACCTGGCGAGGGAAAGTGGGCGCCACAGCTTCTTCTGGGCACCCAGTAGACTTGGATGGGCACTCTCCCATGGCAGGTCGCGATGGTGCTGCTGTCCAATCATACATGTAAGGAATATATGTATATATGTGTGTATGTGTGTGTGTGTAAATCACGAAAATTAACACGTGATGAAAAATGTGACAGCGTCAGACCACGGAGATCTGACACTGACACCAGCCCTATATATATATGTGTCCAATACTTGACTTGTAAATCATTCCTTCTGAAGATGTATTAATATACGAAAGTTCAAATATAACAAGAAAGTTCAAAGTTTGGATTGAACGCCACACTTTGGCGTTCAATCCCCGACCGTCCAAGTGGTAGGGCATCATTCCTTAGCCCCCCCCCCGTCCCATCTCAAATCCTTATTCTGATCCCCTTCCAAGTGCTATATAGTCTTAGCGGCTTGGCGCTTTCCCTGATAATTATCCTTCCCCCTTCCGTGGTCTGACACTGTCATATATATATATATATATATATATATATATATATATATATATATATATATATATATATATATATATCGGCATCTATAAAGAAACCTTGTGTCTCACACTGACACAGGAGATACATCAATGCCACAACAAAGGCCTCAGTAGTGTCAACAACTTAATGTGCTACTCACCGTCTCCACAGCACTGGTATATCTTGTCTTTCCCCAAACATATTTGGTTGCATCTGCAACACACAGAACATATTTTATATATTATCTCTTGGCACAGATGTTGCTATTATCAGTGTTGTTGTTATTGTCACAGGTGCTGTTGTTGTCAAAGGTATTATTACTTCATATATTGTTCCTTGTCACAGGTGTTACGCATCTATATACACATAGATCAATACGTCATGTACAAATATACATGCAGATCTGAACCCCGTGCACCGGTACCTAGCGAACATAAGCGGGTCAGGTTCGGCCCCATTTTAAATTGCATTAAAAAAAAATATATATATATATATTATATATATATATATATATATATATATATATATATATATATATATATATATATATATATATATATATATATATATATATATATATATATATATATTATATATATACGTGTGTGTGTGTGTGGTGTGTGATTCTATGGTGAGTGTCATGGGATGGTTGGGGTCGACTCCCATGTCCCCCCCCCCTTAAGTAGGATTGATTCCTATTGCAATAAACATTCACTGAAATAAAGTTGGAAATGTAGATTTGATTATCCTTTCGGTGTTTTCCAATATATTTCTCGGCTGTTATGATTGTTATGGTAACAGCTGTAGTAATTTACTAAGATCTGGAACCTTGGTGAATATTTCCAATAAGCGTAAGTGAAAGTCATTCAGTGATGCTGATAGCTTACCCTCGCTTGACGACGGGGGCGGCACTGGTGCTTGTGGGTGGAGCTGGTGTTGCCGGGAGTAGAGTACCCCAGTTTTGTGTTGATTTTCCAGGATTTGCTGATAAATCTCCAGTGTACGAAGGATGTAACCACTCCGGTATAGATTTTGGGTTTGTGAGTAATTCTGCGGTATGTGGAGGCTTAATGAGCGATTTTTGAGGATCAGTTGGCGATATTGAAGTGTATGTGGGTCTAGTCCAAGGAGGCATTGTATCTTGAAAGGGTCGTGTTGGTTGTACAGGCTTTATTTGCCACAGTGGAGTGTATATTGGTCTGGTCCAGGAAGGTGTTGAAGGTGGAATTGGTCGGGTTGTTTTGGGAGGTTTTGTTGGCAGTATTGGAGTGTATGGAGGCCTGGTCCAGGAAGGTGTAGAATGTATAATTGGTCGGGATGTTTTGGGAGGTTTTGTTGGCAGTATTGGAGTGTATGGCGGCCTGGTCCAGGAAGGTGTAGAATGTATAATTGGTCGGGATGTTTTGGGAGGTTTTGTTGGCAGTATTGGAGTGTATGGAGGCCTGGTCCAGGAAGGTGTAGAATGTATAATTGGTCGGGATGTTTTGGGAGGTTTTGTTGGCAGTATTGGAGTGTATGGAGGCCTGGTCCAGGAAGGTGTAGAATGTATAATTGGTCGGGATGTTTTGGGAGGTTTTGTTGGCAGTATTGGAGTGTATGGAGGCCTGGTCCACGAAGGTGTTGAAGGTGGAATTGGTCTGGTTGGTTCTAAAGGTTTTGTTAGAAACAGTGTGGAGAGACGTGTTATGGGTGGAATGGTTGGCCAAGTAGTCGGGTAGGTGCGTGTAATTGGTGGAATGGTTGGCCAAGTAGTCGGGTAGATGCGTGTAATTGGTGGAATGGTTGGCCAAGTAGTCGGGTAGATACGTGTAATTGGTGGAATGGTTGGCCAAGTAGTCAGGTAGGTGCGTGCAATTGGTGGAATGGTTGGCCAAGTAGTCGGGTAGGTGCGTGTAATTGGTGGAATGGTTGGCCAAGTAGTCGGGTAGATACGTGTAATTGGTGGAATGGTTGGCCAAGTAGTCGGGGAGGAACGTGTAATTGGTGGAATGGTTGGCCAAGTAGTCGGGTAGGGACGTGTAATTGGTGGAATGGTTGGCCAAGTAGTCGGGTAGATACGTGTAATTGGTGGAATGGTTGGCCAAGTAGTCGGGGAGGAACGTGTAATTGGTGGAATGGTTGGCCAAGTAGTCGGGTAGGGACGTGTAATTGGTGGAATGGTTGGCCAAGTAGTCGGGTAGGGACGTGTAATTGGTGGAATGGTTGGCCAAGTAGTCGGGTAGGGACGTGTAATTGGTGGAATGGTTGGCCAAGTAGTCGGGTAGGGACGTGTAATTGGTGGAATGGTTGGCCAAGTAGTCGGGTAGGGACGTGTTATTGGTGGAATTGTTGGCCAAGTAGTCGGGGAGGAACGTGTAATTGGTGGAATGGTTGGCCAAGTAGTCGGGTAGGGACGTGTAATTGGTGGAATGGTTGGCCAAGTAGTCGGGTAGGGACGTGTTATTGGTGGAATGGTTGGCCAAGTAGTCGGGTAGGGACGTGTAATTGGTGGAATGGTTGGCCAAGTAGTCGGGTAGGGACGTGTAATTGGTGGAATGGTTGGCCAAGTAGTCGGGGAGGAACGTGTAATTGGTGGAATGGTTGGCCAAGTAGTCGGGTAGGGACGTGTTATTGGTGGAATGGTTGGCCAAGTAGTCGGGGAGGAACGTGTAATTGGTGGAATGGTTGGCCAAGTAGTCGGGTAGGGACGTGTTATTGGTGGAATGGTTGGCCATGTAGTCGGGGAGGAACGTGTAATTGGTGGAATGGTTGGCCAAGTAGTCGGGTAGGGACGTGTAATTGGTGGAATGGTTGGCCAAGTAGTCGGGTAGATACGTGTAATTGGTGGAACGGTCGACCAAGTTGTGGGAGGATAAGGAAATGATGTTGTTGGACTATAAAGCCAATCTAGAGGAAGAGAGAAGTGTTGCCACTGTGCGCAAGGGTCGTAGCAGAAGTAAGGGTAGAGGGAGCACCGCGGTGAGTAATACAGGGACATCAGCGCTTGACATCTTTTAGTCCTCGTTGTTGCATCTCCGGTAATGTTGTCACCGATGGGCATGAAGTCAGCTGCTGCTGCTGCTGCTGCTAATATACTTGATATCAGGATCCATTTTACCTGCCGAAGGTGAAGAGATGCGATCATGTGAGAGCGGGAGCCGGCCAAGCCTGCAGCAGGGCCAGGTCACGCTTTACATCAATGTCAGGCAAACTGCACTCAACAACAGTCGCAGACTTTACTCTACAAAAGGGGCAGTCCATGCTGTAAGCAGTGGCAGATCACTCTTTACAACAGTGGCAGACCATGCTCTATAACAGTGACAAGCCATGCTCTGTAACCAGCAACAAGCCATGCTCTATAACAGCGACAAGCCATGCTCTATAACAGTGACAAGTCATACTCTATAACAGTGACAAGCCATACTCTATAAGTGACAAGCCATACTCCATAACAGTGGCAAGTTATACTCTATAACAGTGCCAAGCCATGCTCTATAACAGTGACAAACCATACTCTATAACAATGACAAGCCATGCTATATAACAGTGGCAAATCATACCCTATAACAGTGATAAGCCATACTCTATAACAGTGTCAAGCCATGCTCTATAACAGTGACAAGCCATACTCTATAACAATGTCAAGCCATGCTCTATAACAGTGACAAGCCATACTCTATAACAGTGTCAAGCCATGCTCTATAACAGTGACAAGCCATGCTCTATAACAGTGACAAACCTTGTTCTATAACAGTGACAAGCCATGCTCTATAACAGTGGCAAGCCATACACTTTAACAGTGACACGCCATATTCTATAATAGTGACAAGCCATGCTCTATAACAGTGACAAGCCATACTCTTTAACAGTGGCAAGCCATCTTCTATAAGTGGCAAGCCATATTCTATAACAGTGCTGAATAACAACTCAAGATAACTATACATAATAAGGTATAATATATTCTATTGAAGGGTCTTCCGCCCTGGTTAATTACCTAGTTATTTGTAAAGTTTTGAAGGCATCTAAGGTTATATATATACTGTATATATATATATATATATATATATATATATATATATATATATATATATATATATATATATATATATATATATATATATATATATATATAAAATTTGTTTCTCTAATACAACACATTTGAGAGGTCATAAGTAGGACACAAGAGCTGGTGTGGAAGAGGTGTAGTATACATGTGTATACTACATATGTATCACTGCCACATGTGTACCTCATCCTTCATCATATCGTACATGACGATAAACACAAATACACAGTCAAACAGTGTGTTATACCACAGATGTTCCTTGTTGATGCAGTGCGCCAGATGAGAGAGTTGGTAAGATCAGTAAGAGTACTCACCATGGAGAACATGATGTGGTCCGAGTTTAATCTGTCCGTCCTGAACACTGACGAACCTTAGCCTTTACTCTCCACTGGGATTGCTTTTCTTCCTCTTCTTGCGCATGCGTACATTGTGTGTGTATACTTCACAATATTCACCCACACTCTGTACTGATCCTTTAGCTATTTGAGGCAAAACACAAGTTGATCTGTGCAAATATTTATACCAGCAGATGTGGGCAGCACCCACTATAGCAGTCTCGTACTTCCTGCTCTAATTTCTTAAAACAAATGAAAACACAAGAACAATAATATTAGCAGGACCATGCGAGGCAGCTCATGTCTACATCCAGCTGGTTAAATATATTGGTTAGCTTAAGGGCTTGCCCGAAACGCTATGCGTGTTATTTATTTGCAAAAAATACCACTAATTACAAACTTATTATAAAGAGAGAGAGAGAGAGAGAGAGAGAGAGAGTAAGGGTTCTCTCTACAATGAACGTATAGCTCATTGTGTTTGCTGGAATAATATAATAATAATATCCATGTAACAATGTCACTATCCTTGTTCATATACTCTTGTATAATTAGACATGTATTTTTTTATTTCACGTATTTCTGTTCAGGTACTGTTGTTTCCCATGTTTACTTTACTTAAGTCTACCGTGTAGTTGGATATGTAGGAATAGTTATTAAAGTATTCATATAGGTTCCCCCCTGCGTGTGCCCCTATTTACGTAAAATAGGTATACATGTATAGTTACTAAGGCCGCTTAACATGTATCCCTGCACATGCACATCATAGGCTGTAACTTGCAGTTGCAATTTTCTAACAACTGCAGTTGCAACTTTCTAGCAACCACGAAGCTGCAAAAATTTCCAGCAGTTTCAGCTGCAAAATACTAGCAACTGCAGTTGCATAACATTCCATGCAACTTGCAGTAGCAAATATTTTATTATTTAAATCAATATAAAGTTATACCGCCTGTGGGACCGACTTAAGAACCTAAATCTGTATTCTCTTGAGCGCAGGCGGGAGAGATACATAATAATTTACACGTGGAAAATAGTAGAGGGGCTGGTCCCAAGCCTGGACACAGAAATAACATCACATGAGACCAGGAGGCATGGCAGGATGTGCAGAATACCCCCGTTGAAAAGCAGAGGTGCAACAGGTACTCTGAGAGAGAACTCTATCAACTTCAAAGGCCCGAGACTGTTCAACACGCTTCCAGTACACATAAGGGGCATAACTGGCCGACCCCTCACAGTGTTCAAGAGAGAACTGGACAAGCACCTTCAAAGATATCTGATCAACCAGGCTGTGATTCATACGTCAGGCTGCGAGCAGTCGCGTCAAACAGCCTGGTTGACGTCCAGCAACGAGGTCGACGACCGGGCTACGGGGACGCTAAGCCCCGTAAACACGTCAAGGTAACCTCAATGTAAGGTAAGGTGGTGTTTGTTTTCACCCGACGCACAAAAATGGCTGTGATGTGACAAGGGTGCATCGCGGGTTTTTGGGGAAGGTTGAAAACTCTGTGCAGGGTTTTGTATAGGCTTTTGTCATTCTTAGAGAAGCGCGGAGGCGCATGCTGTTTAAGGCCGGGAGCATTCCCGGACCAAAGAAGAAAGCAGAAGACTAAGGAAAGAAGACATCAACAGAAGGCAGACTGTCACCACCTAGAAGGAAGAAGCACAGCCACAGCCGCCCTTCCTGATCCCGACTCGATGCCTAGCCAACCCTAGATTGACCATGTAATGTATCAATTATACAATGTATGTATGTGATGTAACTATATAACCTGAGTTTGTAAAAACATCTTAATCAGCTTCAGTGGTTAAGTTCATAATTACACACTAGTTTCTCTGTTAGCTATCTCACCCTGTCAGAGTAAAAGAGACAAATGTAGGTGTGTATATATATGTGTGTGTGTGTGTATAAAGTATGTGTGGAAGCTGATCAGAGTTACGTTTCGCCTTTGTAAATGCACATTAATGACACTATGTAAAAGACACATCGAACACTTTATGTAGCATACATAAATCTGTGTATCTATATATTTACGTATGTACCTTAGCCTAGCATTTTAAAAGCACTACAATCACCTTCTGTGGTTGATTGTTCAATAAATCCCTGAACTGTATGTTTGACAAATCTCTCACCCTGTCCATGGAGAACAGAAGAAAATGTATCTATGCTGGTTAGCATTGTAAATGTGTGGCCACGTCTGTGGTAGAAAATAATAATAAAAAAAAAGTTGTGGGGTTGTGTTCACCTAGTTGTGCTAATTATCCAGCATCGATTCTTGACACGCAGCTGGGTTAAGGCCTAACTCTTTTTCTACGACTTCAGCACTTCCTCTCGCCGACTTCTCTTCAGCTGTCCCCACTTCATTGCTCGCCCAATGGGTATCTTGTCCTGTATCTTCGTATTCATAATATTCCTCCCATCCTCACTCCGTCGCGCGCGTCAAATCCTCCACACTCTTCGTCAAAATCCCTTCCTCCTCCCTGGGGCCATTCAGAGGCCCCACATCACAGCTCGTTCAAGTACGTTTATTGAGACATTAAAATACATCTCAAAGGTATGGAGTAGCTTAGGCTAGTCTTAGGCTTAGCTCAGTAGCTTAGTTGCACAGCTCATTGTTGTTGTTAGATTAGGGGGCTTCGCTGGACTCCCCCTCCATAATTCTTCGGGCACAACTTTGTTTTATGTTTCAACTCATATTATGCTTGCCACGCTTCGTTCAATCTGGATCTTTGCACGCATGTATAAACATTTCAGAATGCCTACTCTTTCAAAGTTTCTGTATGCATGTAGCTTGTCTCAGCAACTGCACATGTAATGTAATCTCTTAGACACATATGTAACTGGGTAATTATAAAGTAATTAGTTGTTAATTATTTAGGATTACTTGTGTATAGGCGATAAGCATCCTTCGTCATTATTGTTAAGTGCACCATTTATAATTCTCGGGTGAATTCTCTAACCTTGTATACTTTAGTTACGTATTAAGATGTTTGGTCGCATGTGTCCCTATATACGTAAAATAGGTATACAAGTATACAGTAGTTATTAAGGCCGCTTAACATGTATCCCTGCATATGCACATCAAAGTCACAATTGTGACTTTTAAAAAAGAATAGTTTGTAAATTAATAATAATGAAAAATTGTTATTTGCTTAGCTAAACGAACTAGAGGGTTCAGTTCCTGAACCGATTATGTACCTCTGTAATCCTTTACACCACCGCCCACGGGATGGGTATGGGGTGCATAATAAAGAAAGAAATTGAAATTGAATAATAATGATAATAGGGGACAGGGGAAACTGGTAGTGTACCAGGGGGACTATAGTGGCATACATGGACAGGGGGACTGGTGGAGTAAGGAAAAAAAAGAGTGGTAACAGGTGAATATAATTTTAATTAACTAAAATACAAAACTTATAATGATACAATTTGTATTGAACATAAAAATGCGGACACAGGATGTGGGTTATGGCCACATGATGTGTGTGTCACAAGCTGAATATGACTCACATTCCTGGTTTACTTCCTGGGATGCTGATTGTTGTTTTGGTGTGGTGGGAGTGTTGAGGATGGTGGCTGGAGGTGTGTTGCTGGAGGATGTATGCCTCCCGGGAGCACCAGACGCTCCGAGGCCAGCAGCGGGAGCAACACCTGCGGCAGGGGAGCCACGGAGCGTCCAGCCAGCGTCCTCCCTGTGGAACACGCACATTCGCTAATTTTGTAAATGCAAATTAGATTATTTTAGTATAATATTAAAGTATTCTGGCCTCCATGTGAAGAAGTGGGCCGCCGTGTCACGAAGCGGGCCTCCGTGTCAAGAAGCAGGATATGTCTATAAAGGTTGTGGTGGCGGTGGCAACAGATGAGGTTGTGGTGGTGGTAAGAATGAAAGAGGTTGTGGAGGTTGCAGTAACAACAGAGGAGGTTGTGGTGGTGGTAAGAATGAAAGAGGTTGTGGAGGTTGCAGTAACAACAGAGGAGGTTGTGGTGGTGGTAAGAATGAAAGAGGTTGTGGAGGTTGCAGTAACAACAGAGGAGGTTGTGGTGGTGGTAAGAATGAAAGAGGTTGTGGAGGTTGCAGCAGCAACAGAGGAGGTTGTGGTGGTGGTAAGAATAAAAGAGGTTGTGGAGGTTGCAGTAACAACAGAGGAGGTTGTGGTGGTGGTAAGAATGAAAGAGGTTGTGGAGGTTGCAGCAGCAACAGAGGAGGTTGTGGTGGTGGTAAGAATGAAAGAGGTTGTGGAGGTTGCAGTAACAACAGAGGAGGTTGTGGTGGTGGTAAGAATAAAAGAGGTTGTGGAGGTTGCAGTAACAACAGAGGAGGTTGTGGTGGTGGTAAGAATAAAAGAGGTTGTGGAGGTTGCAGTAGCAACAGAGGAGGTTGTTGTGGTGGTAAGAATAAAAGAGGTTGTGGAGGTTGCAGTAGCAACAGAGGAGGTTGTTGTGGTGGTAAGAATAAAAGAGGTTGTGGTGGTTGCAGTAGCAACAGAGGAAGTTGTGGTGGTGGTAAGAATAAAAGAGGTTGTGGTGGTTGCAGTAGCAACAGTTGAGGTTGTGGTAGTAATAAGAATGGTAATAACTACTGTTGTAACAACACATGTAGTTATAGGCCTTGTATAACACTTATATTTACTAAAGTAGGCCTTAGATAACTAATATTAAGCTTAGAATTATTTATTTAGGTTTTGGTTAGGTTAGATTAAGGTAACACTCTTTACATACGTTTTCATTTCTTTGGAATTACAAAATGTGAGCTTTTTAGAGTCCAACTGTCCACTTTGTAAATTTCACCAAATAGTTGCTATCATTATTGGAGGATGGTGAACATGGGACAACGCCTCACAGTCTGTTCAATACACTTTCCATGAACAGAACGAAATTTCATTATGATGAGTACGGTAAACACCTGCCATTGTACCTATACAATATGTAATACATCTGGTATACAATGTATGTACCTAAAACCTGAACTTGTAAAAGCATCTTAATCACCTTCAGTGTTTAAGTTTTTAATATCACACAAGTCTCTATAGAAGCTATCTTACCCTGTCGAAATAGGAGAGAGACATAGGTGTATGTATATATGTAGATATGTGTAGGTATATGTGTATATATGTATACGTATTCACCTAGTTGTGCTTACCGGGGTTGAGCTCTGCTCTTTCGGCCCGCCCACTAAAACTAATTATTTTTTTATTTTTTTATCCACACACACACACACACACACACACACACACACACACACACACACACACACACACACACAGGAAGCAGCCCGTAGCAGCTGTCTAGCTCCCAGGTACCTATTTACTGCTAGGTAACATGAGGCATCAGGTTTTTTACCTAAGGAAACTCTGCCCATCTGTCTCCGCCGGGTGCGGGGATCGAACCCCCGGTCCCTAGGGCCACGAGTCTAGAGCGCTGTCCACTCAGCCACCCAGCCCTCATGTGTGTACTTGTATACAAGGTATGTGGAAGCTGGTCAGAATTGCATTTCTCCTTTGTAAATGCACATTAATGACGCTATGTAAAAAGACACCTCGGACACTGTTTATGTAGGACAGACGTAAAACTCTATATTTATGTTTGTAGGTTAGCTTAGCACGTTAACAGCAATACAATCATCTTTTGTGATTGATTGTTCAATAAATCACTGAATTATAGGTTTAACAGATCTCTAACCCTGTCCATGGAGGACAGAAGAAAATTTATATATGCTGGTTTGCATTGTAAATGTGTGGCCACGTTTGTGGTAGAAAATAATAAACAAAAATGAACAAAGATGGACAATGATCTCACCCTGAATGCAGCAGTCGTTGTCGCTGGCCTTCTTGCCCTTGCACATCCTGCACCTGCGGGAGGTCCCACTCATTGCTAAGTTATTTTTTCCAACCGTCAAAATCATCTATATCATGTCAGAATTTACTTTTTTTATTATATATATATATATATATATATATATATATATATATATATATATATATATATATATATATATATATATATATATATATACTTTGGCACTTTAAATTAAAGTGCCAAACTGTCTAACTACTAATCTACATTTCAAATGAGCTTTTGACTCTGCTAAAACCATGTCAAAATGTATAATATACAGAAGCGCACTATTTATTGTGATTTTGTCCTGGGACAGAATAGTCTCATGACAACCTCTCCATATACATATTGTTCTTTACAGGGCCAAAATGCACTCTACAGTACCACAAATATTGCTCAGTAGATATATGTGCCCTCTTTGAGTGCTACAATAACATTTAGTGTTAAAATGGGCTTTACAATACTAAAATATATCCCAGATGCTCTGCAAAGCGAGCGGTGAAGGAGGTACTGCTTTGGTGCAGTCATCGGGAGGACAAACCCTTCATGCAAACCGCACCTACTATCAAGAAGAAGAAGAGGTACTGCTTTCAGAGCTAGTTTTGTTTTTGTTTGTACTACTCATATGTTCAAAGCATACCATATATTCTACTTCAAAATCATATTGCATGCAATATACGAAGGCGTCTCACCTGTTGGTGGTTGTGGAAAGAGTGATGTTGGATGCCATAGTGAGTGTGGTTGGTGGCCCAGGACTGCCCTTCCTAGATCTAGAGCGGCCCCCTCTAGGCTTAGAGCTGTCTTTTCTAAGCTTGGAGTGGCCGTCCCTAGGCCGTGCTCTCTTCCTTGGTAGGACACGGCTATCAGAAACTGCTGGCTTGCTAATAGGCCACTCAGGGTCAAACTGTGGCATCTGCTGTTTAACAGTTGGCCACACAAAGCTGGAAGGTATCGTCGGCTGCCGCCTAACAGTTGGCCACACAAGGCTGGCAGGTATCGCTGTCTGTCGCTTGGCAGTTGGCCACACACTAGTCACTGGACGTAACGTAGTCTGAGCGTCTTTTGACCAAATTGGGATTAGAGGACTGGCGGTATGTCGCGGTCTTGTTGGCCAGATCACATGGACTGGAGGACGCGTAGTTGGGACCGAACCAGTGGGCCAGGAAGGAGTAGTGATGGTAGTGCTCTTCTTGGTGGGCCACATCGGAATAAACGATTGTTTAATGGTCTTTTCAGTTGGCCAGGAAGGTTTTGTGGTGTGAGAAAATGTGGGTATAGTTGCCTTCTCGGTGGGCCACTGCTGGATAGAGGGTGGCCTTGTGGTTCTGGCTCTTCCCGTGGGCCAAACTGCAATGGAAGTGGGAATGGCGTTCCTTGGCACGTCCGTAGGACGCACTGGTGGCCCCGTAGGCAGTGTGGTCGATGTCGGAGGGGAAGAGGCCAAGCTAGGGTAGGATGTGTAGTAGGTTTGCAAGGAATACATTGTTTGCCAAGGGTAGGATTGCTGCGAGTAATTATCTTGCCAGTAATAGGCCGAACCAGGATAAGATGGTAGTAATGGATAGGATAATTGTGCATGGTAGGATGCTTTTGGTGGGTAAGTGGGTTGAGTAGAGAACGGTGGGTAAGTGGGTTGTGTATGGTACGGTGGGTCAGAGTTTAAAAGTAAATGGTAGGCTGGTTGTGATGGGTAGGTTAGTTGTGAACGGTAGATTGGTTTTGGTGAGTTAGGTGGCTGGGTAGGATACGATGGTCTAGAGGGATAAGACAGCAGCGAGTCGTTCACCAATCTTGCGGGCAAAATAAGAGGAGGTGGGGAGGAGAGCCAAGGGTAGCTGCTGTAGTCAGGGACGAGGTTGTTGAAGGAGTTTCCGTTCTTGTAATAAGGGGTGAGGTTGTTGGAGATACCGTTGTTATGTAGTTGGGACACTGCTTGAGCCACCATACACGTCACAGTCACCGCCCTCATTACTGCCTCCTGCATCAAATATCACACAGATTGTCAAGACACAGGCGAATGCTTAGAAATTTTACCTAAGCGAATGCTTAAGTTTACCCGAAACGTTGTGTGTATTTGTGGCTGTAGGTATTGTATGTACTAGCTCTATCTATAAATCCAACACTATGTTTGTAACTCATCTTCTATGTATGTACTTTTACCTGAATAAATATTTGAATTTGAATATACGAAGGTATAGTGTCTCCCTATCTCTGCTAGACGACCTTGAGTCATTGTTACCCCATAGTGCTCACACTGAAGAATCGTCACCCCAGCGCTATCTGGAGTGGTGAGTCTTTAGGTGATTAATTTTAATCATTAACTTTTGCAATAAATAAATTACTGAATTGACTACAAAATGCAGCTGACTTACCGTGGTTGGCATGCTGTACACCAAGTTCTATATGGATCAACTCTACACCTGATCAGCTCCTTCACTTTTCTTCATAAATATTCCCAAGATACGGCAACCAGCTGGCAGTTTAGTCAAGAGTAAGCTCTTGTGTGGTGGTAGAGGTCGAGAGTGTTGTGATAGAGGCCGAGGGTGACGTGCCACTGTCTTGCAGGATCGCTGCCGGGGTCTGGGTTAGGTTGCAAGCATCCTGGCAATACATCCTTCCCGCGCAGGCGCGTCCAGCCCTCTCAACTCTTACCAGAAATATACACTGACTTTGGTATGCATACAATTGATTTTGGCAATTATTTTTACAATATTTAATGTGTATTTCCTTAGGAGTTTGTATAATAACGCTATACGTGCTAGTGGCTTTACAAGAATGTAAAGGGGGGGGGGGGGTTGAAATAGCCTAAGCTACTCTATTCCTTTGAGATGTATTTCTTTCTTGTCTCAATAAACATACTTGAACTTGAACAAGAATGTAAAATCATCATCATTACTACGTACTCTCTTAACCCCCAATATACCTTCTTGTATATAAATAAATAAATAATAAATAAATAGGAATTATGGGGAGTCAGATGGAACGTAATGAGACAGGGAAGGACAATAGGTGATGAATTGGATTGAAGTTGATGAATTAGGGGTGATGACTTAGAGGGAAAGTGATATATTACCTAAGGGCCTCTAACTCTCTATAGTGGCCTCGGCGGGGACAGGAAACCGGCAGCTTGTCAAAGGTCCTCTTAATGTTGTTCAAGAGGATTTTTCTATCTAGATATTAAACTGAAGTACAGTAATGGCTTGGCATGCATGGCGTCAACAGGTAGGCACGGATTTATAGCCCTATGGGTGAAAAGTATGGATAGGTGCTCTTCTTGGTGGGCCACATCGGGATAAACGATTGTTTAATGGTCTTTTCAGTTGGCCAGGAAGGTTTTGTGGTGTGAGAAAATGTGGGTATAGTTGCCTTCTCGGTGGGCCACTGCTGGATAGAGGGTGGCCTTGTGGTTCTGGCTCTTCCCGTGGGCCAAACTGCAATGGAAGTGGGAATGGCGTTCCTTGGCACGTCCGTAGGACGCACTGGTGGCCCCGTAGGCAGTGTGGTCGATGTCGGAGGGGAAGAGGCCAAGCTAGGGTAGGATGTGTAGTAGGTTTGCAAGGAATACATTGTTTGCCAAGGGTAGGATTGCTGCGAGTCATTATCTTGCCAGTAATAGGCCGAACCAGGATAAGATGGTACAGAGTGATAAGATGGTAGTAATGGATAGGATAATTGTGCATGGTAGGATGCTTTTGGTGGGTAAGTGGGTTGAGTAGAGAACGGTGGGTAAGTGGGTTGTGTATGGTACGGTGGGTCAGAGGGTAAAAGTAAATGGTAGGCTGGTTGTGATGGGTAGGTTAGTTGTGAACGGTAGATTGGTTTTGGTGAGTTAGGTGGCTGGGTAGGATACGATGGTCTAGAGGGATAAGACAGCAGCGAGTCGTTCACCAATCTTGCGGGCAAAATAAGAGGAGGTGGGGAGGAGAGCCAAGGGTAGCTGCTGTAGTCAGGGACGAGGTTGTTGAAGGAGTTTCCGTTTTTGTAATAAGGGGTGAGGTTGTTGGAGATACCGTTGTTATGTAGTTGGGACACTGCTTGAGCCACCATACACGTCACAGTCACCGCCCTCATTACTGCCTCCTGCATCAAATATCACACAGATTGTCAAGACACAGGCGAATGCTTAGGAATTTTACCTAAGCGAATGCTTAGGTTTGCCCGAAACGTTGTGTGTATTAGTGGCTGTAGGTATTGTATGTACTAGCTCTATCTATAAATCCAACACTATGTTCGTAACTCATCTTCTATGTATGTACTTTTACCTGAATAAATATTTGAATTTGAATATGCGAAGGTATAGTGTCTCCCTATCTCTGCTAGACGACCTTGAGTCATTGTTACCCCATAGTGCTCACACTGAAGAATCGTCACCCCAGCGCTATCTGGAGTGGTGAGTCTTTGGGTGATTAATTTTAATCATTAACTTTTGCAATAAATAAATTACTGAATTGACTACAAAATGCAGCTGACTTACCGTGGCTGGCATGCTGTACACCAAGTTCTATATGGATCAACTCTACACCTGATCAGCTCCTTCACTTTTCTTCATAAATATTCCCAAGATACGGCAACCAGCTGGCAGTTTAGTCAAGAGTAAGCTCTTGTGTGGTGGTAGAGGTCGAGAGTGTTGTGATAGAGGCCGAGGGTGACGTGCCACTGTCTTGCAGGATCGCTGCCGGGGTCTGGGTTAGGTTGCAAGCATCCTGGCAATACATCCTTCCCGCGCAGGCGCGTCCAGCCCTCTCAACTCTTACCAGAAATATACACTGACTTTGGTATGCATACAATTGATTTTGGCAATTATTTTTACAATATTTAATGTGTATTTCCTTAGGAGTTTGTATAATAACGCTATACGTGCTAGTGGCTTTACAAGAATGTAAAGGGGGGGGGGTAGAAATAGCCTAAGCTACTCTATCCTTTGAGATGTATTTCTTTCTTGTCTCAATATACATACTTGAACTTGAACAAGAATGTAAAATCATCATCATTACTACGTACTCTCTTAACCCCCAATATACCTTCTTGTATATAAATAAATAAATAATAAATAAATAGGAATTATGGGGAGTCAGATGGAACGTAATGAGACAGGGAAGGACAATAGGTGATGAATTGGATTGAAGTTGATGAATTAGGGGTGATGACTTAGAGGGAAAGTGATATATTACCTAAGGGCCTCTAACTCTCTATAGTGGCCTCGGCGGGGACAGGAAACCGGCAGCTTGTCAAAGGTCCTCTTAATGTTGTTCAAGAGGATTTTTTCTATCTAGATATTAAACTGAAGTACAGTAATGGCTTGGCATGCATGGCGTCAACAGGTAGGCACGGATTTATAGCCCTATGGGTGAAAAGTATGGATAGGGAAGGGAACTATCAGGAAGAAAGCACCAAGCCATTGCGACTATATAGCACTGGGAAGGGAGTCAGGATAAGGATTTGGGATGGGTCGGATGGGGGGGGGGGGGGGGAGGAAAGGTTCTCAACCACTTGGACGGTCGGGGATTGATCGCCGACCTGCATGAAGCGAGACCGTCGCTCTACCGTCCAGCACAAGTGGTTTGACGAAAAGTATGAATAAAATTACCAGGATAAATGAGAGGACCTTTGACAAGCTGCTGGCTTTCTGTTCCTATCGAGGCCACTAGAGTGATGGTGGCCCTCAGATAAATTCAGATAAAGGGAAGATGATGAGCTAGAGGGAAGTTGATGTGTCACAAGGGAATTGATGAGACACGTGATGAATTGAATTGGAGGGAGCGATAAAGATGCAGCTCACCTGATTCCAATTCTGATTCAAATTGTCCATTGCAAATACATTGATTGAGAAGCAAAGCCACATTCACTGGGAGTTGCCAATTTCAAATCAAGTACAGATGAGGTCGTTCTAGACTCACAATCGGGAATCCCGGGTTCGACTCCCAGGCTGGACAAAAATGGATGGGCATATTTTCTTTCACCTAATGCCGCTGTTCATTTTAGCAGTAAATGGATACCCGTGAGTTAGTTAACTGTTGTTTAAATACGTTGGTTAGATATGACTGCATTGCTGGCATTGTTGATCGTATAATGTAAGCTTTCTATTGTTTTAGTACCTGAATCAGTATTAAGAAGAGCAATCAAGTTACCAAAATTTATGGTAAAGAAACTCTAGTACTTATTAAGGGATTTATTTTCTACAACATTTCGTTTCTCTCTGGAACATTTTCAGGTAAAGAATGATTACATGAGGTTCAATTTGGGGCTAAAAATACATGGTAAAAAGCAAACATAGGGTAAGGGGATACGGCAAATTAAATGTAGGGTTAGTGGGATAGGTTCAAACAAACAAAGGGAAAAAGAGAAATGATGAGATCAGTCAATCAAATATTAGGTAAAATTCTGGTATTTTCAGTGGGTGGGGAGACCTCGGTAGAGATATCATTATCCGATGATGTTTGGTGAGACCTGGGTCTTGAGTGTTGGAAGGAAGCAAAGTTGTTATTTTGTATATTTAAGGTGGATCTTTTCTCTTCTAAGTATGGCTTCCAGGATTTGCAATCTTCTTTAGTCAATGGTAGATTCCAGGATTTTTTATTATATACAGTACTAGCATGTTTCTAGTGAGTGTCATGTTATTTTCACTTTGCATATGGTTTCTGGAGGCACCAGCTTGTAGATGGTGTCATTTTTCTTGAATGACTGACCAGAGGTATTAACTAGAGCCTGCAACAGCGCTTTCCTTTGGGAACTTTGGAGTCCATTAATAGGTTCACTACATAGTCATAATGGCTAAGCCATTATGACTATATAGTACTTGGAAGAGATATGATAAGGATTTGGGATAGGATGCAGGAAAGGAATGGTGCCCCAGCCACTTGGATGGTTGGGAATTGAATGCAAACCTGCAAGAAACGAGACCAGTGTTCTACCATCCAGTCCATGTGGTTGGGCAAGCTAGTTTCAAATAATCAATTGTTGTGACTAAATCCTTTGCAAAGTCAGTTGGTTGTTTCAATGCTTCATTTCTTACAATCCTTCTAGTTGTCTGTAAAACTTTGCCAACTTTCTGGATGCTTTCCCAGTGAAGATGATGATAATTATCCCCTGCTTCCTGTGCCTCTGAGGGGGTAGGGAGCAGTAGGCTAAGCAGGACTCGTGCAGCTGTTGTGACCCAGTAGTGGAGAGCCATCTCAATAGGATGGCTTCAAGGAGCCACAAAGGCTCTACCAGAAAGAGGCATTTCATTACATTCAACACTGGCTTTTTATTTTTGAATTCAAGAGAAGGTTTGGAGTTTATAAGTGAATTTTTTAATTATTGAATTGTTGAAGTCCTGTATTACTGTCCAGTACAGTAGTCTGAAACATCACATCTAGAACATTTTTTTTAGTTTACATCATGGATAAAATTTCACCTTCATTACTTTTTTTTTTCCTTTTAAATATTATACAGATAACATAAGAAAGTGCATAAAAATATATGTGGAGCTAGAGCAAGTGCTAGTTTGATTGTTTGTACTGTATTTAGTTTGCTTTCAAAGACATTTCATGATGGTTAGAGCTCACAATTACAACAATGTATAGCTAGGTTACTCCATTGCTGAAAAGCAAATTTAACTCAGTATTGGTGTCAACAGTTGAAGGCACATATTTGCCATCTTTTGAAGTGTTTTATTAGTTTTGCTTTCTTTATTCTAACACACATAATTTTGTATACAATTCTAAAGGTTCCCTTAATATATTTCTACAAAAGGATTCAATCTTCTGAGTGTTTGTTAGCATAGTAGAGTAATTGTGTGATTTTTAAAGATTAAGTCTGGAAAGTTCCTTTTTGGCTTTTATTATTGTATGTCCCTGGTCCTGGTAGTTATCAGATTCATTCTCATCTCACTATCAAGAATTCCTGGTTTGAATCCCAGGTGGGACAGAAATGGTTGTGCGCGTTTCCTATCACCTAATGCACCTGTTCACCTAATGGTAAGTAGGTACTCGGGAGTTAGTCAGCTTATTGTGGGATTGCATCCTGGGCATGGTCAGTAATTCGTCTTGGGGTGGGGGGGGGACTCGATATAAGCCTAACATGTATGAATACACTCTGGCTGCCTATCCCCTGACACAATGAATTGTGTATTAGTTTAACTTATTTTTCTGTAACATGAAATATTCTAAAATTGTTTGCTCAAGTCTTGCCAATATAGAATGCAAGAAGTAGTTTTAAATGGGTGAATAAATTTTGAATGTGAACAGTTGTTTGTGTTGCCTTACTTTGTGGAAATGTGAGTCTTGCTTACATTGATTAGCCTATGAAAATAACTGAAGGCAAATTATGTCTTAAATTACCAGTCTCAGTGGTGTAGTGGTAAGACACTCACCTGGCGTTTCGCGAGCGCTTTGTCATAGGTTCGTATCCTGGCCGGGGAGGATTTACTGGGTGCAAATCCTTAACTGTAGCCTCTGTTTAACTCAACAGTAAAATGGGTACTTGGTTGTAACAACGATTCTTCGCGGTGGGGATCGTATTCCAGGGACCTGCCCGAAACGCTACGCGTACTAGTGGCTGTACAAGAATGTAACAACTCTTATATATATCTCAAAAAAAAAAAAATGTAATGTAAAAATGTTTGTGGCAACATATAACACATGTATAGGTAGTTTTGAGACATTTTATTACTGAAGAGTAGGCCAATAGTTGGCTAAAAGCTGACACTAAAGGCTAAAAAGAGAAGCATAACATTTGATTACCTTTATTAACTTTTATGTATACAGTTACCTACTGTAGGTACAGGACAATGTAAACAAAAGAAAGATGTTTCCAAAGTAGAATTGGTAGTGTTTACATGAGAAATCTATACTGTATTGCATTATTATTATTACTCATTACTTGAATGTTATGCATTGTAATCTGTTACAAGAATTATCAGGTGTTGAGCTTTAGATGACATACTGAAATAAAGGTAATTACTTTTATGCCAGAGGAACTATCTTGCATTTTAAAAAGTGCTGAAGAACGATGATGAACAATTCTTTCAAAATTGTCTTTTCTTTTGCACCTTTTACAAAGATGTCTGATGTAATGAGATAATGATTTATTATTCTTATTATTCAGAAATATACAAGTTTAGAATTAGTAAAGGAAATTAACCTCACCATTAATGCCACTCTTAGTTAAATTGAGTGGAAGAGCACAAGATATCACATTATGGAGTTACGTTTCTTACAGCAGAAATACTTGTATTTTAAAGTGCCACTGGACACCACATTTGACAGCGTGAGAGGTCTGAAGTCTAAACGAGTTAAGGAAAAGTCTTTGTATTTAGCAGTTGCAAGGAAATCTGCAATTCAAGCATTACATTTCATACAAAGCACCTAATTTCAGTCAAATGTATATCTACATTTTTAATTTGTTATGATCAAGGATGCAGCAGTAAAATATTACTGGCAAAAACAATAATTTTTCACAAACACTTCATAACTTACGTGCAAGAATTACATAAACAAAAGAAAAATACCTTTAGAATCTAACCAATCATTTCACTTACAAATAATATAAATACCACAAACATCTTTTCCAAAACTCACGGATGGCTGCCAAAAAGCTGAAAGACATCTGGAGGTTATAGTTAGTAGTAGTATTGCTTAGTAAATGAAATAGTCTTGAGTCCTCTTAACACCAGCTCATAGTTGCAAATATTTATTAAACATGCCCCACAGAGTTCATTTGTAATATTTTTGCCATAAAGTAAATACCCTTTTACATTTGTTTATAAAAGCACATATCGCATCTTGACACAGAAACAGCATTATTTAATACAGCATACACTGAAGCAGCTGTGAGATGATTTATTGTATTATGTTGCAACATATGGTAGTACAAATGTAAATCTTAGACTATGCTGTAGAGATAATTATCAATTGTCTCGTTTCATGAGCATATTTGAACAGCTGTAGTCAAATTTATGGCTTATAACATCCTAGAGTTACTATGTAGGAGGTGAACTATAATTCAAAACTAAAGACTGTAAAAGCATGGTGAATATATACAAATATATTCAACCTCGCTTGTACACTTCGTCACATTCCATGACATTTATCATAATGGATGGGAGTCAGCATAAGCAAGTACAGAGCCGCACCCTAAACTATGCTATCATTCTACACAACACTATAATTTTTTCAACTTCAAGCACAAATGCATAATTAAATTTAGTAGTAACTTTACATTACATTGCAAATTTTACAGACTGAAAACTTGGAGGGAGGCTACGATTTGTCATGTCATATATTGATCAGTCTATCCCAAGAACTCTATCTGGCAAGATTACCTCCATATTTGAGAGCACCATTTGCATATAACATTTGTTTGATTACATGTTAGCATTTATGATCATTGCTAAATAATTTTGCATAAAATTCAGGCTTTGAAATCCACTCAATATTTTTCTTGTGAAATATCCAAATTATTTACAATTTAATGATTTATATTTACTAAATAAAAGAATGTACATATGTTTGATTACTGTAAAAAATAATTACAGTAATTTACAAGTTATTTTGTATTTTAAGCCTTGTTTTGATCAATATTATTATTATTACAGTATTATTATTATTATTATTGCTATTATTATTATTAAATTTATTGCTCCAGCCATATTCAACAATACAATTTTGATCTAGTTGGGTTTTGGTAACTGATCTTCTGTTTAATTTGATAAGAGCAGAAAGCACCAAGTTCAGCACATCATTTACAGATTAGTAAAATATACCTTTCTTAATAAATGAATATTTACTTAATGACCATGGAAACCCAAAAACTTATCAATAGTACTATTTGTAAATGCACTTATTGTAATTCAGTGGTATGTCCACACCCTCAGAAATGACTAGTTTTTAATCAGGCAATGCTTGTATGTCTTGTATATCATATTTGGTTTTTCACTGGTTTATGCACATTATCTAATTATGAAGTACTGTATATACAAGCTCAGTGACTTGCTTAAATAATATGTATATCAGACAATAAAGCAGTAAGAATTTTGTGAAAGAGAAGAAAAAGAAAGTAGTGGAATTGTTTTCTTTGCAAGCATGTTAAATAACTGATACATATGTGATGATCTTCCCTCAAACTGTTCACTATTATAGACAAGATTTATTATATTTACATGTAATTTGGGTGGTGGGATTATAGTACTGGTGTATTTTGCATACTGCCAAACCATACACAGAACAATATGAATTTTGAAAATTAATATAGTTGCTTGATGAATTATTACCTGCCCAAGAACTACATCCTGTGAAATATTAGCAGCTGCTTGGAAGGAGGGAAGGAGGTGGGGGTGATCCCTGCATCACACTGCTTTTGCGTGTCATAAAACATTTTCAGGCTTAAAAAATTTATTGCTGTAAACTAGATCCAAAACTAAACAATATATTTCATCATTCTGTAAATTCTATTAATATGAAAACTGTTACAAAATAAAAGAATGCATGAATGATGCATATGTAAAATTGTATGGAAGGAGGAATTATGAATGAATTGCATTATATTACAAAACATACAGGAAATTGTTGGAAAAGTTCATACCTGGTGTATGTAAATCATAATTTAAAGTAAAATGCAATTGAATCAATGGTTATTACTTTTTTCAGCAGATAGCTTAGTCCTACAAATCCTTTAAATTAACAAATTCTGTTTTCATAGCAAATAATGTTTAAAGGGAATGGATGTTGTTTACTTGGGGTGAATCATGCACCCCATGAGGCAGTGTGTGACGAGCACTCTTAAAGAGATTTCATAAGGTACAATTAAACCTTATATTAATTTTTCTTGTGTATGTATGGTGTGTGTGTTGTATTTATTAATCCTAAAAACTTAATGGTTAAAGAGGCCTGAGTGTCGGAAGAAGCCTAAATTTGATCGTGAACGTGGTCCTAGAGAACGCTCTGGAGTGAGTGAGGTGGAGTGTGCACGTGGACGGGTAGCGGCAGCCCCTGGACAAGGACTAATGTCAACTTCACTCACCATGAGTGGGACATCATTGCTGGATCTTCTGTCACCTGATATAAAAGGAATTATGAGTTAACAAATTTATAATTGTTAAATGTGAATTACATAATGTGATACATAACTTTTGTGTATTTTAGTTTGTTGTAGGGTGCTAGTAATCAAGAAAATTCCTTCAAATAGTAAAAACATCATTTTTAGAACAAAGATTGTGTAATGTAAATGTATAATTTTATAAGAACTTTTCTGGGGGGAGCCCCGTTGGCTTCCCGTAGGTTCAAGCCCTCATCATGGCCCTCGTGGATTTGTTCATTTGCCTTGGTACTCGAGTTTGTTGATATACGTATGAGCTGACTGAGCATGTGGCGTGCTTCAGTTGGCCCATAAAAAACAATGGTCAGAAGAAAAACAAAAGATCACTCATAGTGAGACAATGTGATGTTTCACTACAGACAAGTGTTAAAACGTAAAGAAAAACAGGTGTCTCTATAGACAGATTCTTAGTGAGATAAGCAAGCAGTGAGACAAGCAAGCAGTGAGCCACAACCAGGTCCTAGTGGTTTGCCTGCAAAACGTAAGAGAGAGAGAGTACCCCTAGAAATGTCATCACTGCTGTTAAAATGGAAGGGGACTCCCCTTCCAAACACTAACACCTCTCCTCCTTTCCCTTTCCTCACCGTCTTCCATACGCCAACAAGTCCTCAATAAAGGTAAGATATACTTGTACATACTGTAGTACAAAATATTAGTAGTAGTATGTACAAAATATATTTTTAAGTTAATATTTTTGGGGGGTGTGGAACGGAATACAGTAATTCAATTTACATTGTTTCTTAAGAGAAAATTTGTTTCGCTTTTTTAATTTTTTTGTTTTTTGAACCGTCTCTGAGAATGGATTAAATTTGAAAACAGAGGTATCACTGTACTATACTAAAATGGTTATTATCAAAGTAGCATTGAGAAACAAGAACTGAGAAGAATGAGGACCGTCCTCAGTGAGGACATACCAGAGTGGGCATAAGACTAGAAACAAACTTTATATTGAAAATTCTATAATTGAACATTTTAACACTATTGCAGCCAGAGCATGCACGCTGCAGACTTTGACGTCATGCTCCCGGCGGTGTGTGCGTGCGTGCGGTCGAGTATGCGGCGACACCGAAATGTGTATACTCATTTCAGTTTTATCACCTTAATTCTCGTGCTACGTCGTTCTTTTTGGTATCATTGTGTTCGCAATAGAATTGTCTACAGGTGTATATGCAAATAATGTTCAAAAGCCCGGCGTGACTCCCCACAGCAAAACCTAAATTCGGCAAATTACCCGTGAGCACACAAAATCAGTAAAATGTGCATACTCATTTCAGTTTTCTCACCTTAATTCTCATGCTACGTCGTTCATTTTGGTATCATTGTGTTCGCAATTAAATTCCCTGCAGGTGTATATGCATATAATGTCCAAAAGCCCGGCATGACTCTCCGCAGCAAAGCCTAAAGTTACCCGTGAACGAGCACCAACTGGCACACCGCAACCTAATGTGTATACTCGTTCAGTTTGATAACATCAATTTTCATGTTACATCTCTCATTTTGGTATCAAATTGTTTGCAATATAAAGACGAGTATTTTAAAACTAGGCCCATAATAATAGAGCAATAAATGGAATTTTAACAAATATTTTATATTTTGGACGCTCACCATCACAAAATTATTTATATCTTTCCAGTGTTCTGACACCAACTTTCGTGTTACATCTTTCATTTTGGTATCAAATTGTTCGCAGTCTAAAGGTGTGCATTTTGAAACTAGTCCCATAATAATACAGTAGCACAATAAATAGAATTTTAACAAATATTTAAAAATTTAGACCAAAATAGTATTTATAATCTTTCCAGTGTTCTGATATCAATTATCGTGTTGTTATCAATTATCGTCCACGACTTGGACACGAGAAAAATTATGGACCGCGGGAGCGTTTGATGAGTGTGAAAGTGTTAAGATTAATTTAATTCCACAAAGTTTGTGGAATTCTTTGCCATGCTTAAGTCATTCCTGAATTCAATACTCTACAATTTTAAGTTGGTGGACAGATGCCTGAAAATTCTTCATTAAACATGATGCTTCAAGTTATTTGTGCACTATTTATATCTTTAAACAAAAATAAGGAAGAAAGTGGGAAATTTATAGACTGCAGTGAGAAATAATTATATGAAGAAAAATATATATAAGACAACCTGTTGTAATGCATACTAAGACAAGGTCAAAGTCAAGCACACCTTCACTTTTTGATGGTGATGTTCTAGCAGATGTTGAAAGTCGAGAGCCTTCAGGCGACAGCAATGATGGAATGGCCTCTACACTCTCCATGAGGTCCAGCAAGGGATTGCGGGGCTCCAGGCAGAGCGATGCCCGGGTTCGTGCCAAGTCACGAGGTTCTACACATATAGAATGTCTGTTCTTTTGTTTTCTAGCAAGGTCCTGAGCTTGATCCCGAGGCTCAAGACACACTGAATGGCGCATCTTGGCACTGGTTGGCATTTCTCGGGCACCTTCATACAGCGAGAGTCTCGACCTGGGAGCATCACCCAGAACAGGGCGTAGAGGAGACGATGGACGGGGCCAAGCACAAGAGCCTCGAAGAGAAGGTGAAGAAGCCAGCGATGAAGAACCACCTGATCCTGAAATGCATTTTATTAAACTAAATTTGTGAATCATATCTGACAAAGCACTTGAGCTTAAAATTTATGCACTGCACTTATAAAACTAGAATGTTTGTTTTTATATTTATTCTTCTACTGAATAAGAATATATTATATTCTTGAATGTAAAGACGAACCTTTAGCCTGAAAGGCTAAAGCCTGAAATGTAAAGACGAACTTAAATTATTAGCCAAGATGAATGGACAACATGGAACAAAATCATCCTGTGTTGCAAGCGCTACCTTTCATTTCATTGGAGTCACTGATTTTCTTAACCCTTTGGCTGCAACATCATTTTACAGCCCTGTCCATAATGGTAAAAAGTCAACCTAAAAACATACAGCATTTAACAAATGTTGAATTTCCTATTACAAACCTATTATTCTAATAAACTTGCTCTATCCAGGTGAGTCATTATATATTTTTAATTATCATTTCCATTTTTATTAGAAAATATGGTCCTAGTACAGTAGAGTGGCACCTCGATTAACGAGTTTAATCCGTTCCGGCACCGAGCTCGTCATGTGGAAAACTTGTCTTGTGAAACAACAAAACTGTCATCAGAGGTGTCCGAGAACCAGCAGGAACGCTCATTAATCGAGGGAAAGCTCGTCAGTCGAAACATATTATCTGCGAGTGGCTTGCTCGTTGCTCGAAATACTCGTAACTGGAGCCGCTCGTCACTCGAGCTCCCACTGTACAGTATTTATTAAACAGTTTATGAGCGCTAAAGTGCCATGAGGTCATTTATAGCAATAACAACTTGGGTCAAGAATGACTCTATACCATTTTGAAGTTCATAAACTGTTTACAAATACAGTACAGAATATGTAGGCTGCCATGATTAAAGGAAGATTTATAGGTTTTGTAGTGGGATTCTTAAGTCTTAGATAAATCCTAGCCCTGGTGGCCTGTGACAATGCAGTCTAAACAGTTGTGTTTATATAACAGCATAAAGAGAGCGAGATCTAGCTTTTGAGATCTAGCTTTTGAGCCCCACTTCAGCTATTATACCTACAGTAGTGCATTTAAACTGGCTGGCATTCCAATTCTCTTTTTGTACTTGTTGTAGAAGCTGTGAATGGAGGAGACTTCTACAACCTCTGTTCCAAGCTCAATCCACTTGCTTATCACCCACACTGCACACGAGTACTAATTTACATCTCTCTCTCGACTCATTTATACCTAATGTTGATTTGTACTCTCATTCTGTTTCCCCCTCATTTGGAAACACTGTCTCTGTACACATTCTCTATTTCCCTCAGTATGAAAGGCTGGCACTAATATTCTTTTCCATTCATACTTATCCTGCAAATCAAGATGGGTGCCTTACTTTCCTATGGAAGTGGTAAATGGCTAATAACGATGGCCAACAAAATATATCTTCTGAAAATTAAAAACAACCAGTTATTTATACCTACTTTTTACTCATGTCTTTTATAGAAACTCACCTGAGGTATTAGAAGCTGATGTTGATGTACTAAATTTGTTGGAGGAGGTGACAGAGGAGGAGGGGGTGGCTACATCTGTGTCACACGAGCCAAGGTCCACATCAGCAAGAACTGTTAAGAATTAGACAAGCTTACAAACTGATTGACCAGTCAAGTTTTATTAAATGGCATTTATAGAGGGACATGTTACACAAGATACTTATGTACCATGCAATACTTTAAGTAAAAAAACCCAGCATAGGCGTTTCACCTACGCCCAGAAAATGGCGTTCCATGCACTTGATGCTGGGTTTCTGTAGGGAGCCCCTACAGCTTCCTGCCTGGAGCTACATAACCAAAGACAAGGAAAAGAGGGACTTACTCGTGAAGCGGCAGCCATACACTCCTCAACGCAAAGTTGACACAATTGACGGCAACATGTGACCCAAAACAACACAGGAACGTCCAGAAGCAGGAACGTTAACTAAATAACGGGCAGCCAGGACCCTGTTTGACCTCCAAAATCTCTGCGCCCGAATATCAGCCCAGGACATGTTGTCAAACATGGTAGAAAATGCACCAAACTTCCTAACGTTATGGGCACGAGGATAAACCTTAGGCTGGCCTTAATGACCCTGCAGACGACCTGAAAGACCCAAGCCCTGGAACAGGGAACGAGGGAAATCGGATCAACCCAAAACGCATCCCCAGCCACCGAAGCCTAAGAGCAGATAACGGCGAAGAGCTGCAACTGGACACAACACATGATGCACCCCCAGCCTGACCAACCAAGCATCAATGACCCAAGGCTGAAAAAACTGACCACCAGGACCGAAAGAGCAGAAACCCCTGTGCCGGAGGAGAGCATGAAGCTCACCGACCCGACCCCCAGAGGCCAATGCCAACAGAAACAGAGCCTTGGAAAAACAATCATGAACCAAAGGGCCCACCACAAACTGAGGAGACAAAAGATAGTTGAGCACCCTGTCCAAGGACCAGGACGGCTCAGGCAGCGCATGAGCAGGCCAGAGGTGAAACTAAGCATGAGAAAGCTTACGGAATTGGGCAGAAGACACACCCACCTTGAACGCAAGCTGGACTGACTCCGCCAGCACCGTATGACACAAGGCGACAGTATTAGGCATCAAATGACAGTCCAGAAAAAGCCAAGACAGACAGGACAAGACAACGCGATCAGAAATAAAAGACAACTTACGAAGAGAGAGAAAATGGCAGTAAGAACGCCAGGAAACTTCATACTGTTGCGAGACAAAGGTCTCAGGTGGGACACCATCAACGAAGCCACCTGATCACCATACAAATGGTGATAAATCCGCGTAAAAAAAAAAACAGATGCAAAGAGTGGAGGAGAAGACCGAACCAGCTTTGTACCGGACTGGACCGTCCTGCTGCAAGAGTCAGAGCCGCAGAAAACATCATGGGTTCGCACACAGAGCAAGCAGCACCTGGAATCAAGGCTGGGCCGGCCACCAAAGGGCCATGAGGACTACTCTCCCATGGTAGGATACCAACCAAGCCAGAACCCGAAGAAACAGCTGGACCAGGGGGAAGAGGTACAGGCCAACCCCCACCTCGACTAGTCCTGCCGAAAAGTATCCACCACGATAGCCTCACAGTCGGAGAAAGGCGCCACATAGATCGGGAGATGCTGAGACCACACCAATGCGACTAGGTTCATGTCCAGGAGTCCAGCACAGCCAACTGAAGGAATCTGTGTCGACCATCCATTCCATGAACAAGGGGGACAACTAAGACAGGCTGTCCACCAGGACATTGGACACTCCCTGGATATGAACCGCACGCATAGCCAAACACCGAGAAGGAAGCAGATGAGCCACTTGAAGCGACCAGCTCCAAAGAGGCAAGGACCGAAGAGAACCCTCGTGATTCAAGCAATGAACCTTCGGAGAACAGTCTGAATGGAGCCAGATGGTTGAACCCCGAGCGACCCGAACCCTCCGAAGTGACAGCCAAACCGCCGCAAACTCCTGCACCGTGCTGTGAGCCCAACGGAAGGACGTACCCCCATTATCCTTCATCAGCCTGGTGAGTACTGGTCACAAAGCCCTAGCCGAGAGACGACAAGTCAGTCGTCTGAACGGATGATTGCTGAGTCAGTCGTCTGAACCCTCTGATTAAAAACGGGTGGCCAAATCCACAAGGGCCGTGACGAGGATTTGAACCTGCGTCCGGGAGCATCCCAGACACTGCCTTAATCTACTGAGCTACGACAGGATAAAGGAGTTGAAACCGAAGTTCTACTGAACTTACTGGATCCCATAGCCTCTCCGAGGCACAAACCAGGATTTTACACAACTCCTCCCTGCACCCGAGCTATGTCAATAGGCCGTTCTCCCTCTTCGCCCTTACATCACTACACACGGAGATCACACTAACGTGATGCATCAAATGAACAAATGAATAAGTGTAATGATGTAAGGGCTAATATAACATACATTAGCCCGATAAGCTCCAGGGAGCTGTAGGGGCTCCCCACAGAAACCATGGCATAACATTATAAATACAGATAAAATATTATATATTCAATGCATTGTACAGTTGAATTTATTCAACTATAAAGACAATTTGTAAAATTGAATTTCTTCAACTGTACAAATCTCTTTTCTGCCCTCATTTGGACAACTGTATCAAGCATGGCGAGCTCATCTTCAGAAGGACATATCTGTTTTGGAGAAAGTTCAACATCAGGCAACAAAATTCATCCCAGAACTATATTGACTCATACCAGAAACAGTTGAAGGCAACAGGACTAACAGCATTACAAACCAGACATGACAGGGCTGATCTCATCGAAACCTTTAAAATATTGAATGTGTTGAAGGATGTTGATTCAGACCAGTTCATTAAGAGGTCAAATGTAACACATACAAGACAACAGCTTCAAGCTCAACAAGCCACAACATAGGACAGAAAACAGGAAATGCTTTTTCACCCATTGGGTTATAAATCCACAGAAACACCTACCTGCAGAAGTCATGAATGTCAAGACATTGCTACGGTTCAAAACTCGGGTGAATAAAATCGTCAGAAAAATAGTGGGGGCTTGGGAGGGGGGGGAGGCATTTGACAATTGCTGGCTTCATGTTCCTGTCATGGCCTCTAGAGAGATGGTGGCCTTCAGGTAAATTCAGCTAAACTGGAAATTCAGTTATGCTGAATCCCTATAAGGTAACCCAGGTGAGTAACCAGGATAATCTATTTTATTAAAAAAAATTATAATCTACAGTCCAGCAGAAAGTGTTACTGACTCATCAAAATTACTTTAACAATAAAATATAATTCAGTAATGAATGGCCATAATTTCTTACAATACAAGTTCCTTTTCCTAAATATGTATATTTAAAAATAATACTTTTCCCCTTAAACACATATCTTATTAAAAGTTAATTAATGAATTTTGCACTTACGAGAAAATCGATGGTGTCGTGTGAGAACTCGTGCACTACTGCCACCAGGGGAGTCATCGCAAACTGAATCACACAGCCTTGTTATTTCTGGAGTTGACCCACTTAGACTGTACTGTATACCACCTGGAATTATATAACATTTTAACCAACTTTCTCAAATTTGGATAAAAAATTAGCCTTCACATTTTTCTTTTCATACAAATTTTAAGAGAGAAACTGTAATAAATTAGAATGACTGAAAAAATAACAAAAACCAGTATTGAATGTAATGAAACGCCATTTTCTAGCGAGTCCTGGAGGCTCCCGCGGAGCTTACCAGGCTGATATGTATGTGCAACCACTGTATTAGACCGTGGCATCAGTCAATTCGATGAAATTCTAGCCCATTTTCTAGGTTCATGAGCCAGAACCTGGCCCACTCAGAGTGGCATGAGGAGGGTTAAAAATTGCGACCAAAAACCGAACTAGCAAGCAGAACTCCCCAAACTGAAAACAAGCATGACTTCACCATTGCCACCACGCCGCTGTCTGCGCACCTCCCCCCTCCCCGGAAGCGGGAAGGGGAAGCCCCAGACACCTTATACCAGTTATCCAACCCCAGTTCAGAGACAATGTCAAAAATGTAAAAACCGCCAACTGGAGGGAAGGAGGGAAGGTTGCCGGGGAGCCTCCGGGACTCACCCAAAAAATGCCATTTCATTACATTCAACGCTGGTTTTCTGTGGAGAGCCCCTCCGGCTCCTCAGAACTACCTAACAAAAGATAAGAAAACGAGGGACTTACCTTGAGGCAGTCGTTGCTCGCTCCTCAACTCGAAGTCAAGACAATTGGCTGCAACCTGCGACCCAAGGCTACACACACCCGAGTAGGGCCAGAAACATTAACAAGGTACCATGCGGCCAGGACCCTGTTTGACTGCCAAAAACCCAGCGCCCAAATGTCATCCCAGGACATTTCCAAAACAGCAGCAAAAGCCACAAACTTACAAATGTCGTGGGCACGGGGTTAGACCACAGGCTAGATGGAGCAAATAACCCTGCAGACAACCTGGTAGACCCATGCCCTGGAAAAGTGGAGAAGGGAAACCGGGGTCCACCCAAAGCGTGTCCCCAGCCACCGAAGCCGTGGCGTGCAAGTAACGGCAAAGAGCCGCAACCGGACACAATACATGATCCCCCCCCCCCTGGCCAAACCAAGCAAGCATCAATAACCCAAGGATCCTCCGGAAAGCAGCAATCCCATTCTTTGCCAGAAAAGAGAGAGACAGCTGCAAATGAACAAACCTATCATCATGACCAAAAGAGCAGAAAACCCTGTGCCGGAGGAGAGCATGAAGCTCCCCTGACCCAACCCCCAGAGGCCAATGCCAACAAGAAAACAAGCCTTAGAAAAACAGTCCTGAACTGAATGGGCCACCACAAACCGGGAAGAGAGAAAAAGAGAGAGCACCCAGTCTAAAGATCAGGACAGCTCAGTTGGCGCATAAGCAAGCCAGAGGTGAAACAATGCCCGATAAAGCTCATGGAATGGAGCAGAAGTGACATCCACCCAAACACATGCTGAAGCAGCTCCGCCAGCGCCGCACGATATGAGGTGACAGTATTCAGCATATGATGCAGGTCCTGAAACAGCCAAGAGAGAAAGGACTAAACAACTTGTTCAGAAATCGAAGACAACCTACGAAGAGACAAAAAGTGACGAAAGGACCAGCAGGAAACTTCAGTATACACTGAGGCGAAAATATTAAACAATTTGGACAATGTAGATCCCAACACTTTCTTCAAAAGATCAGATGTAACAGGAACAAGGAGCAACAGGTTCAAGCTCAACAAGTCCCATTGTAGGACATAAAACAGGAGATGCTTTTTTACCCATAAGGGTTGTAAACCCATGGAACAATCTTCCTGCTGAAGCCATAAATGCCAAAACTTTGCAGGGTTTCAAAATACAGATAGAAAAGATCATCAGCACAAATGGGGGGGGGGGACCTTTGACAAGCCGCCAGCTTCCTGTCCTCGTCGAGGTCACTAGTATTAGTGGCCCTCGGGTAAATTCAGGTAAATTACAATTACTGTACTTATATTAAGAATTTTGGAAGAGAAGCTTCACCGGATGTGAGAGCAGTACTCATGATGAGGGAAGAGAAGTGTCACTGGATGTGAGAGAAGTCCTCATAAAACCAAATAAACTTTTTGTTAAGCTGCACTAACTGAAGTTAAATATCGTCTGACATCAGGAGAATTCTTTACCTTTTGGAGGTATCCTTGCCCTCCACACCCTGACAGGAAGACAGCAACCAGAGACATCTATTCTTGACATATATTTCCTTGCTAGTAGGCAACTGTCATCCCATGAATATAGTAAGCAGCAGAGGTGATATATGATGTGAAAAACAAAATTTCAAATGATAAAAAATAAATTCATTAATTGTAAATTTTAATGATTTTTTTTATAGGTTCTTACCTGATTTAACTGGAGGTGTGGTATCTAGGTTGTTATTTAAGTGTGTGGTGGAAGTACCACGGCGGAGGGCACTGCGTCGATGACGAGAGGCACTTGTAGCCTCCAGTAATAATCTATACCACTGATCTAAGCCTGATTTGGCTCTTAGTAGTACTCTGCCTTCACGAGGTAAAGATAGTGCCAGAGCTGGACCGCCACGACGATCCTGCCATTCTACACACTCCACACAGGCTAAGTTAACCTAAAAATATTAATTTTGAATTCAGTCTATTTAAGTTCAGGATTTGTACAGTTTTATTTTATTTGCCTTTTATATGATAAATATAATTGACTGAAGTATAGGAGTTATGTTTAGCTGCAAATTTTAAATCACTGATTAAAAATTACATTTTTACTTACCTTAAATATAAACGATCCCATTTCAGAATATTTGGTAGAACCCCTTCTGAAGCATGCAAGGTAATCCCGAGTAAGAACAAAATAACGTTCCTTCCAGCGTGAGAAAAGACGGTCTCGAGCCTGGAGCAACACACCTTTGCGTAAGGCTGGAACAGACACAATCCCATCATCCTGCCAAGAAGCAATACAGTACAACATGAATGGATGTATGATGTGTATAAAATATTGTACGTACAGTAATTTAGCTTTAAGTGAAAATTCATGCTCCTGTTTCATCCCATTTATTAAAGCCATAATAAAACAAAACCAAAATTACTAATCTAGCTCAAAAGGAAATTACAGCACAACTGTTTAGCCAATTCATCTAGTATTCACTAAGTACAGTGGGACATAACACAGATGTTTCCTGGCAATGTTTTTGACCCCCCCTGTAAAAGTATAGCTGATCTTTGCTGTAACTATAATTTTTATCGAGTTTCCTTAAGCTATTACATAAATTGTGAGTAGGAAAGAGATCATCCATTGAGAGTAGAGGAGAAAAGGGTGAGAGGAAGTTTCATACAATGACAAGTGCAGGTCCCTCAGTGAATGTACGTTTTGTGGTTACCTCGCAGTTACCTTGTAGGTCCCTCAATGAATGTAGGTCCCTCAATGAATACAGGTTCCTCAACAAATACAGGTTCCTCAACAAATACAGGTTCCTCAACAAATACAGGTTCCTCAACAAATGCAGGTCCCTCAATGATACGTTGAAGAACAAAGCAGATCAGCAACTTTTAGGGTCTGTGGTATGTCTCCAATCTCTAGGCTCTTCCTCTGAAACTGATATAAATACGGGCAAGCTGAACTTTTTTATCCATTCAGCCCTTATGTCTATTCCCATAAGGTCTGCTTCCCAATGTCTTCTCTGGCAAAACTATCCACCCTGTTGCTTGATGGCTTGTCCCACAGCATCCTATATCTGGCTACAGTCTCCTCGCTTCGTTTTACTATATAAATAACCTGCTTCAAGAATATACTTTTGTTGTGCTACAGTGTCCTTTCACTTAACCTTCTGTCTTGCACAGGCACCAGCATATATTGCTGAACACTTCAGTATAGCAATATATGTTAGAAAGTAATGCAAGGACTAACTCCAAATATGAACACAATCATATTCTAAAAATGTCAGAAGGGCAAAATAAGAAAATTAGTTCCAATGACAAGGTTGTAACAGAGCCAGTTAAAAAATCCCAACATCAAGGGCTCTCGGCTCTCATTCGTTCAATGGGAATACATTGCAAATATTTCGTAAACCTGAAGACAATAAAATGAGTACAGAATACAAGGCATAGTTCTCTTCATAGAACAGATTGACAGTCTAGGAATGATACTCTCAGAGAGTTTACAGAGTCAACCACTTAAGTATAAACCCATTGTGAGCTTCAGCTGCAGTAGACCTTCTCCAGATAAGTCTATATTCATTTATACCTGTTCAGTATTACATTAAGCCAAGTGTTTTAAAGTCACCAGTTCTTAAACTTTAGTAAATATCATAGAATAATTAGGAGTATATAAGACTATATAAGACAATACCTGGTCATGTTCTGGTGTTAGAGGCCTGAGGGAGTGTTGTGAGAGCGAGGAGATGGACCGGATGAGGACATGAGGTGGTGTGTACATCAGCTGAGAATCAACTCCACTGGATATGCTCCTGGTGGGAGTTGTTGGGGCAGGCTTGCTGCAACTGGTAGGTTGGTTGCAGTTGTTAGGCTTGTTGCAGCTGCTAGGTTGGCTGCAGCTGCTAGATTGACTGCAGCTGCTAGGTTGGCTGCAGCTGCTTGGTTGGCTGCAGCTGCTAGGCTTGCTGCAGCTGCTAGGTTGGCTGCAGCTGCTAGGCTTGCTGCAGCTGCTAGGTTTGTTGCAGCTGTTAGGCTTGCTGCAGCTGCTTGGTTGGCTGCAGCTACTAGGCTTACTGCAGTTACTAGACTTATTGCAACTGCTAGGCTTTATGCAGCTGTTAGGCTTGTTGCAACTACTAAGTTTGCTACAGCTTGTAGGTTTGCTATTAACACTGCTCTTGGTCCCACCATTCGTTTTTGTCACCCCATTGGTCTTGCCTCCATTACTTCCATTGGATCCTTTTCCCTCTCCACCATTGCTGTTCCCAGAGTTTTCCACCAACATTTTGATCAACTGAAAATAAACAAAAAACTAGTAGTATAATCACATGAAAAAACAAGAGGGAACCTGTATAAAAAGTAAAAAATATAAAACTTTTCTCAACATTATAAATACTGTACTTTTGGATAGTATACTTGGTCCACTCCTCTTTCTTATTTATATCAATGACCTTCCAAATGCCGCTCAACAGCTCTAGCCACTTTTGTTTGATGATAACACAACCTTCATTTTCTGTGATCCTAACCCTTTTATTCTAAATAACATTGTGAATACTGAACTAAAAAGAAATACATCAGTGGCTAACTGTTAACAAACATGCCCATAATATTGATAAAACATTATGCATAGTGTTTGGTAACAAGTTTGCCAATCAAATTAATCTAGGAATTATGAACCCAAGTAGATTGGAACTTCCTTGGTGTTCATTATGATAGTAAGCTGAATTTCCAGTGTCATATACAATCCAGGTAAAATATCAAACATTAGTCTCAGAGAGCACACAGCACTCTTGCTGAAATCTTTGAATATTTTGTATTTATTAATTTATTTATTATATATACTGTACAAGAGTTCTTTCATTCTTGTACAACCACTTGTACACGTAGCATTTCGGGCAAGTCCTTAATCCTATGTTCTCTGGAATACGACCCTGTGAAAAATCATTTAACAACCAAGTACCCATTTTACTGTTGAGTTAAACAGAGGCTACAGTTAAGGATTTACGCCCAGGAAATCCTCCCAGGCCATGAATCGAACCCAGGACAAAGCGCTCGCAAAACGCCAGGCAAGCGTCTTATCCACTACACCACGGGGACTGTTTAAACATTGTTGATATTAAACATTAATATGTTAAACACTGTCACTGCACATCCTCTCAAGTGTACTTTACATCTCTATAACTCTGTCCTTTAATTATAATCCTGACCTTAAGCACTTCCAAGTGGGCTGTAACAGAACCCATGGGCACCACATAAAAACAAATATCTTTTTGATACTCCAAAAATGTGACTTAACCATAGCAGAAATGCTCTGCAAATCAAGGGTCCGAAACTATGGAATGACCTCCTTAATGACATTAAACAATGTTCTTCTCTCTCACCCAGTTTAATAAACTAAAACTCCCTAATTACCTGTATGTAACCAACCTAACTCTCCTTTCCACATCCTACATGTTAATCTTGTTTGCTGTTAATGCAATCATTAATGACTAAACCTGAGATACTACTGATAACTGCTATCTAAAGAATGTAAAGAATTCTTTGGATTCTTAAAGAATGTAAAGATAAGCTTGGTATCTACAATATTTGTTTTCATATTTAAAAAATCATTGATTTCAGCAGAGTACAGAAATAGTAGAACTGATTTTTCTGTTCATTTGCATCGAATTATCAATCATTTACCATACCGTCTATTGTAAGACATGTGCTTGAATTGATAGCAGCAAATATCATGCGTGTATACCCTAAAATATTAGAATGATAGAAATCTAATGGCTTTATTAACGGGCGCTCACGTTGAAGAAATTTACTCTCATTCTTTTGCAGCATATTTGAAGCAGTCAACAGTGGAAAAGATTGCGACTTTATATAATTTGACTTTAGCAAAGCCTTTGATACGGTGCATAATGCAAGACTTAATAGAAAGACATATGCCCATGGTACTGGAAGGAGGGTGGACATCATAAGTTGGATTAGAGTATGGAAGTTATTTAGAAAACAAAGGCGAGTGTGGTGGCAACAGTCCTCGTAGAGGAAGGGGTTGGGAAGAAACAGCTGTGACTAAACACATGTGAGAGGGGTAGGGGAAGCCTCGCCTCTCTCCACTATTCACGGCTACTAAACAGTGTACTGTGTATACTACAGAATATGGGCAAAAGTTTCTATATTTGAATGAGTATATGTTGTTCGCATCATGGATATCTTGGCCGGGAGTGTAAACCCTCTCCACCGTTCCAGAATCTGGGCTTCAAAACCACCAACATAGATTCTCGCAGCAAAATAATAATGCGTAATGGGTTCATCCAACACCACACCACCCTTGTGAAGCTCAACACCCTGCCTGGTGAAGTCCAACACAAGTGAAGCCCAACACACCCAAGTGAAGCCCAACACCTTGGTGAAGCGCAACACACTGGTGAAGCCCAATACATTACTCTGATGAAGTACAACAATCAGATGAAGCACAGCACCCAGGAGAAGCACAACACACTAGCGAAGCATAACACACGGGTGAAACAACAAGTTCAAGCACAACACCCTGGTGGAACATTAAATTGACGAAGCACAACACCCCGATGAAGCACAACATCCTGATGATGAACAACACTTTTGAAGCACAATACCTCAATGAAGCACAGCACCCTGGTGAAGCACAGCACCTTGATGAGGCACAGCACCTTGATGAGGCACAACATCTTGATGTAGTACATCTTGAAGCACAACAACTTGGTAAAGAACAACACCTTAATAAAGCACAAGACCTTAAAGAAACACAGCACCCTGGTGAAGCACAGCACCCTGGTGAAACACAGCACCCTGGTGAAGCACAACACCCTGGTGAAACACAGCACCCTGGTGAAACACAGCACCCTGGTGAAACACAGCACCCTGGTGAAACACAGCACCCTGGTGAAACACAGCACCCTGGTGAAGCACAACACCCTGGTGAAGCACAGCACCCTGGTGAAGCACAGCACCCTGGTGAAGCACAGCACCCTGGTGAAGCACAGCACCCTGGTGAAACACAGCACCCTGGTGAAACACAGCACCCTGGTGAAGCACAGCACCCTGGTGAAGCACAGCACCCTGGTGAAGCACAGCACCCTGGTGAAGCACAGCACCCTGGTGAAGCACAGCACCCTGGTGAAGCACAGCACCCTGGTGAAGCACAGCACCCTGGTGAAGCCAACACCCTGGTGAAGCACAGCACCCTGGTGAAGCACACTACCTTGGTGAAGCACAGCACCCTGGTGAAGCACAGCACCCTGGTGAAGCACAGCACCCTGGTGAAGCACAGCACCCTGGTGAAGCACAGCACCCTGGTGAAGCACAGCACCCTGGTGAAGCACAACACCCTGGTGAAGTACAGCACCCTGGTGAAGCACAGCACCCTGGTGAAGCACAGCACCCTGGTGAAGCACAACACCCTGGTGAAGCACAACACCCTGGTGAAGCACAACACCCTGGTGAAGCACAACACCCTGGTGAAGCACAGCACCCTGGTGAAGCACAACCACCAACAGTTTCCCGGAGGCAGGAGAGGGGTTACCAACGGTCCCCCTGGTGAAATGGGAGAAGGGGAGGTTACTAACAGGAGAAAGTGTCAAGCCGCTAAGACCTGGAAGGGAATAAGGTAAGGATTTGGGATGGGTTGGGGACTGAAACCCGATCGGCATAAGCGAGACCGTCCTTTTACTGTCCAGCCCAAGTGGTTGAGCACAGTCACCAACGGCCTCCCGGGGACTGGGATAGTGCCTTCTATTCTTGCTTGTTCTAACATCAGTAAGTAAGCAGATGCGGCCGTAGGAAGAGGTTGAGGCTGACAATGGAAGAGGGAAAGAAGAAGAGCAGCAGCAGCAGCAGCAGCTCCAGCCTTATCTTTAAAGACGCGTTAGCCAAGTGTCCCATAATGCCGCCCTCACCGAAACCCCAACGCTAAGGGTTTGGCCACGTTGCCTCCTCGCCTCTCGCACTCTCTACCAATTATTGCAATGTGCAGCTGTGAACTTTGTGCCTGCAGCTTTCACCAGGTATGGGCTCGCTACATCGTCCTTCATCTCCCCCCGTCCCCTCCCCGCAGCTGGACTACATCTTCCTGCCGTTCAGTACAGGTAGCTGGACTACATCTTCCTACCGTTCACTAAAGGTAGCTGGACTACATCTTCCTGCCGTCCACTACTGGCAGCTGGACTACATCTTCCTACCGTCCACTACTGGCAGCTGGACTACATCTTCCTGCCGTCCACTACTGGTAGCTGGACTACATCTTCCTACCGTCCACTACTGGTAGCTGGACTACATCTTCCTACCGTCCACTACTGGCAGCTGGACTACATCTTCCTGCCGTCCACTACTGGTAGCTGGACTACATCTTCCTACCGTCCACTACTGGTAGCTGGACTACATCTTCCTACCGTCCACTACTGGTAGCTGGACTACATCTTCCTGCCGTCCACTACTGGTAGCTGGACTACATCTTCCTACCGTCCATTACTGGCAGCTGGACTACATCTTCCTGCCGTTCACTACTGGTAGCTGGACTACATCTTCCTGCCGTTCACTACTGGTAGCTGGACTACATCTTCCTGCCGTTCACTACAGGTAGCTGGACTACATCTTCCTGCCGTTCACTACTGGTAGCTGGACTACATCTTCCTGCCGTTCACTACTGGTAGCTGGACTACATCTTCCTGCCGTTCACTACTGGTAGCTGGACTACATCTTCCTGCCGTTCACTAAAGGTGGCTGACCCGGGACTAACTGTTGCTGGTTCAGAGGATCACAGCCCCCGCGACCCGCTCTGTGTCCAGCCCATCCTCTCGATGAACTAAATTGTCCCGAACCTAACTTACCCAACGACCCACGAAGAGAAAACGGGACATCACATCAATTCTGATGTTTAGTACATTTCCTCGCCGTCGAGAATGTATCCGTCAAAATGCGATTTACAGTTCGAGATGTGGCTTGATATTCTCTGTCCATTTTGCTACGTCGACAATTTCAAATATCTTAAATCTGACAGTAAATCTATAGCAATAAAGCATATTTTATTGGGAAGGTTGATGGGCCTGTGTGTGTATTCACCTAGTTGTATTTGCGGGGGTTGAGCTTTGCTCTTTCGGCCCGCCTCTCAACTGTTTACTATTTTTTTTTTACCACACTCCACACACACACCCCAGGAAGCAGCCCGTGACAGCTGACTAACTCCCAGGTACCTATTTACTGCTAGGTAACAGGGGCATTCAGGGTGAAAGAAACTTTGCCCATTTGTTTCTGCCTCGTGCGGGAATCGAACCCGCGCCACAGAATTACGAGTCCTGCGCGAGTCCTGTGTTGGTTATCAACCGTTGTTACCTCTGCCTCTCTTAATCCTGCCTTTGTTTTGTGGATTGACAATCTTGTACCTTATTCAAATGTTAAAATTTGACTTTCGTTTATATAATTTAGGAATGTAAAGCTATATGTAAAACTTGTGTGTTACTGTGTAGTGGAGGAGACTGACGTGGCCCGTTCTGAGACGTCCATATCTGTCTTCCTTGGTCCATAAGAAGGTTGGGTTGGTTTTGGCTGGGAATGTGACCATCCTCCAGGGCTGCTACTGACCGTGTCACCGTAGTCACTCACTCACCGTGTCCATGGTGAATTTAAATACCTTTATTGAGGTATAAATACAAAAGCATGAGGCAGCTCAAGCTATTCTCACCCCATTCAGTACAGCGTGCTCACTTACATATTTACACACATCACAACCCACACACAGTATTACTGATCATTTTGGACTAGAGAATATAGCACGTCGGGCTCCCACGTGCTATATATATAGTACGCGGGATCCCGACGAGGCTCCCCTCGGGTGCTGCATATCCTCTTCTTCGAGGCTTGATACATGTGTAAAGGAAGAAATGTATATACACACAGAAATCACAATAGCGTGATACATCAAATAAACAAATCCACAAGGGCCGTGATGAGGGTTCGAACCTACATGCGAACCGAAACGGTCGTGGCGCAATCGACTAAGGCGCGTCTGTGATCATCCCGGACGTAAGTTCGAACCCTCATCTCGGCCCTTGTGGATCTGTTCAAGAAATGTATGTTTATCACAGAATGTTTAGTAATATACTTATTGTTGCTGCCTCATGATTTTATTGAGCTATAAATACACAAACTTATTTCAATTTCGAGGCTTGAGGCTCCCCGCCCCCTATATTATATTATATTATATATATATATATATATATATATATATATATATATATATATATATATATATATATATATATATATATATATATATATAAACTGAAAACTCACACCCCCAGAAGTGACTCGAACCCATACTGCCAGGAGCACTCTGCTGGCATACAGGATCCCTTAACCGCTCGACCAACACGACCGGACAAAAGAGGATGGTAGCCGAGGCTATTTCCATCCCCCCGCCGGCACTCGGTTGGTAATCTTGGGCATGGTATTTTATCAAATCACCTCATTCTTTGGGGCACACGTGAGGAACACAAATGCGAACAAGCCTGAATGGTCCCCAGGACTATATGCAACTGAAAACTCACACCCCAGAAGTGACTCGAATCCATACTACTGCCAGGAGCACTCTGCTGGCGTACAGGATCCCTTAACTGCTCGACCAACACGACCTTTATATATATATATATATATATATATATATATATATATATATATATATATATATATATATATATATATATATATATATATATATATATATATATATAGAATATCAAACAGTGTATACAAGATACATAATACTGACCCTCCAGTATGCGCCTGACGCTCAGAGTCCATACCTGAAACACGAAACTAGAATTAGTGGAGATATATTCAACATGACTTGTGTCGGAACATAAGTACATAATAAAAGACCCTTCAGAAGGCCTATTGGCCTATGCAAGACAGCGTCTATTTGTATTCAACTTCTTCCATTCCTGTACTTATCCAACTTATGCGTAAACTTTCTTGTGAGTTTACTTTTAAAGACTAATGTACTTTGTGCTGCTCAACAGATCTATAACCCAATTTTTAAACCAGTTTACCTAGTTATTCTTTAAATCTAAATCACTTCCATATAAATCTAGTGCTTTGTATAGTGGCTTAAGCTGATACTTTTTAATATGATTTATTTCCCTGTGGTAAAGGGAATTTATACAGCTGGAAACTTAGCACCCAAATGACCCAAACAGACATTAAATTATTTTTAGTGTCAGAGTAGTTAACAGATGGAATGCATTAGGCAGTGATGTGGTGGAGGCTAACTCCATACACAGTTTCAAATGTAGATAAGAGCCCAGTAGGCTCAGGAATCTGTACACCAGTTGATTGACAGTTGAGAGGCGGGACCAAAGAGCCAGAGCTCAACCCCCGCAAGCACAACTAGATGAGTACACACCCACACATACATTTATTTCTCAACTACAACTCATTGTGACAAATTAGTCAGGCCGCCCACAGGAATCCGGAAAGTAATGAATTAATGACGGGACGCGAGGCTTACCGTGTATGATACTGGACGTGGGTGTCGTTCACAGTCACACCTGCTCCCACACCTGGCCCACACCTGTCACGTCTGACACTACTACCACAGCTGGCCCACACCTGTCACGTCTGACACTGTACTACCACAGCTGGCCCACACCTGTCACGTCTGACACTGTACTACCACAGCTGGCCCACACCTGTCACGTCTGACACTACTACCACAGCTGGCCCACACCTGTCACGTCTGATACTGTACTACCACAGCTGGCCCACACCTGTCACGTCTGATACTGTACTACCACAGCTGGCCCACACCTGTCACGTCTGACACTGTACTACCACACCTGTACTGTTAAGCAGTGGAGTGGGGGACTATGCTCCTTAACGCCAGAAGTAATATGGTGGAACAGTCGAGTCAAAATCGAAATCTAAAATGTATTTAACGTCTCAGTATATAAATCCCCAGACGCAAATTCTCATCAGGTTAATGATCAGCTGAAGAAAAACTAATACAGCCGAGGACACCTTATAACCACAGCTCCCTTCACGTCAGATAACCACACCTGTGATGGGAACACACCTGACATACACCTGTGATGGGAACACACCTGACATACACGTGTGATGGGAACACACCTGACATACACCTGTGATGGGAACACACCTGACATACACCTGTGATGGGAACACACCTGACATACACCTGTGACTGAGGGGCTCCCAGGAGGCAGTCTAAACCAACAGTCACAAAACAAGTGACTTCTTAAGGCTCTGACAGTTGCCTTAAGTTCCTAACAAATAATAGGAACAGTTCCTAACAAATAATAGAACCAACAGGAACAAAAACACCTTAGACACTTAACAAAGAATGATCACAAATACATGTTACTCAGCTCACAATCTATTCGTAGCCGAGAAAACAAAGACGAGAGACTTGCGCACCTCGTCTCCGTCCCCCGTAGAGGGAGGGAAGACCACTATCAGGAGAGCGCGCCAAGCCATTACCACTATATAACACTGGGAAGGGGTAAGGAATGGTGCCCAATCACTTCGACAGTCAGGGGATTGAACGCAGACCTGAATGAAGGGAGACCGTCGCTCAACCGTCCAGGCCAAGCACTTAGACTAGACTTGAGTAATGGCAGAGCTCCTTTATGAGTTCTCCCCGTAAATAAGAACTCAGCTAATTTAATTAAAGTAACATCCGTATTAAGAAACTACGACGTTGGTACAACGTTCGAACAACTTTTAACACCTCCTAACCCGTTATAACAACCAATATAGCAAGTTGTAACAACGTTCTAATACGTCATAAACACGTTAAGCCAAGATGTAACAACTTTATTACAAGTTGTAACAAGCGGAAAATAGAGACAGTTTCGGTTTGTGTTTCCAGGGGTGCAAGCTAATTAATAGTATTTCATGGGAATAAAGAGGGAAGCACAGGTGAGTAGTACAGAGTGAGTGGCTGGAGAGAACACACACAGTAACATTAGTGCGGGCCATCGTCATCAACATGTGGAAAACAAGTACTGGTCACACCTCCATACTAAACTAATTCCTCAAGCGACCAGATGGTACGGCAGAATGTACACAGTACCCTAAACCTTCCTCAACACCCTTCCTCTAAGTCTGAGAGACATTGTTAATACACCTCTAAACTTTGGATCAGAGGAAACTGGATACAATCTTCTACAAGAGACCTGGGACCAGATTCACGAAAGCACTTACGAACGTGTACATCTTTCCTCACTCTTTGACGGCTTTGGTTACATTTATTAAACAGTTTACAAGCATGAAAACTTCCCATTCAACTGTTGTTATTGTTATAAACAGCCTCCTGGTGCTTCGGAGCTCATTAACTGTTTAATAATTGGAAACGAAGCCGCCGAAGATTGAGAAAAGAAGTATATGATCGTAAGTGCTTTCGTGAATCTAGCCCCCTGATCAACTAACCGGGCTGCCTCAGGCTACATGTAGTTGCCACCAACAGTCTGGTCGACCGGACCATCATCCAGGTTATATCAGACCGAGGCGAGGACGCTGATTTTCGGACCACCTCAGAGAAGACCCCCGGCCTGCTCCTGGGCAATGTTCCTCCCTCTCATCAGCGTTCCCATCCTCAAGTGATGTGTAATATATACAAGTGTTGGAAATATTCGCATACTGGCGCCAGCCAGGCGAGGAGAGGCCAGGAGCTTTGGTGTCCAAGTCACACGCCCTGGTCAAGTGAAATTTGACCAGTGCGAAGCCAGGCCAGACTTTAGCTTGACCTCTTCCAGATCATGTACAGGGTGTGGTCACCCTGTACACGTGACCACACCCTGTACACGTGACCACACACCCAGACTAATGTTGGGGACAGACTGCGTAAGAAGCGGCTCCCCGCCCCCCACACAAGGGACAGGGATGGACAGCAGCAGCAGCTCTCCGCCCCCAACACAGGGGACAGGGATGGACAGCAGCAGCGGCTCCCCGCCCCCCACACAAGGGGACGTACAGCAGCAGCGGCTCCCCGCCCCCCACACAGGGGACAGGGACGGACAGCAGCAGCGGCTCCCCGCCCCCCACACAGGGGACAGGGACGGACAGCAGCAGCGGCTCCCCGCCCCCCACACAAGGGGACGGACAGCAGCAGCGGCTCCCCGCCCCCCACACAGGGGACAGGGACGGACAGCAGCAGCGGCTCCCCGCCCCCCACGCAGAGGACAGGGACGGACAGCAGCTCCCCGCCCCCCACACAGGGGACAGGGCGCCCGTCCTCCGTCTGCAAGAATACACAACACCGCCCAAGGGGGCTGTTTTCCTTGTCGATTTTGGTAGAACAAAATCTGTCTGACAAGTTATTGTTAGAGTTACGTTTGTGTGTCCACTGTAAGTTGCTCCATTATACCTAACTATATAAATATATGTTCTAAATATCTTCACTTTCATACGTGATGAAAGTAAAGGAAAAAGCTGGCTTCTTATAAAAGATAGGTGTACCAAACTTCATTCCAGGCAGTTGATTACTACTATCCAGATTACTACTATATCTGGAATTTATATCCAGATATAAATTTTACTGTTTAGTATAGCGTCCCTTGTGGGAATCATGTCTCCTCACCAACCTGTCCTCCTACAAAGAACGTCACTTTTACCTCGTAGCGTTATATAAGGCCAAAAATTGGCGTATTAGAAAATGGAAGCGGCTCACGAAAGTGACGTACTGTCCCGTTTTCTGTTTTGAGTCCTCTGGTAAGTTAGGAGAGGACACTAACTTGACGTTGGGAAACCATAGGAGGACGGGCTGAACAACCTACCCTTACTTTCATATGTTTTGTCCATTCTCTCCTCGTTTACTCGCAGTGAAATGGTAGTATAATGAATATACAATTGTTTCATGACTTCAGTTCAGGTAATTGACAAGTATTGAGATGTCATAAGTCGTGGACTGATGTGTCGAGACTCGGGGAATTCAGAGTATAGTTACCCATTTATTAATGTTTACAGTTAAGATTTAGTATCGTTGAGCGCTAAGAACTGACAAGAGATAACATAAGCTTTAATTAGTTTTCATTGGTTGAGACAGTTGTTGTGGGTAGTTGGGCCTATTACACAGTGTAAGACAATCTTTGTTGCTGGCGGCTGTTACTTTCCCATTGTATATGCCTCCAAAGTGTAGAAATTTACTATCATTCCCCTTAAACTTTGCCTGAGGGACAACGTCTTGAAGGTACTTAAAGGCTGCCGTCTCCTTATCTAAAGCTGCGACATTGTTTCGTAAGTCGGTAACCTTCAGGTGCTTTCATCATATCTTCCCTGAGCTGTTTTAGGCAATATATATTATATTATATTATATATAATGTTAAATATGACCGAAAAAGTAAGATTAATAATTCTAACACGAATTTTCTTAATATTTCTTATGTTTCTTTTTACTTTCGATGGTAATTGAAAAATCAATTCTCCAAAATTAATTTTTATTTCTAGTCTGACGCGACGCTTGAACGCGTTTTGTAATAACTTATTACGTAAGTTATTACGTAACTTATGCCTAGTGGCAGGCCTAGAGACCATCAGATCGTTAAAAGGAGAGTGCATCGGGCGGCTAATCCACGACGCTCCGGCCACAACCACGCCAGATAATGGTGACAGATTATCTGGCGAGTCGGGTTGTTTAAGTATAACTTGCGTGTTCTTGCAAGTGTGGGGCACATTTGTGGCTCGTGTTTTCTCTAGTAAATATGATTTCATTGAAGAGAACGTGTCTAATCTGTCACCATTATCTGGCGTCGTTGGGGCCGGAGCGTCGTGGATTAGCCGCCCGATG